GGTCGAAGACTGGTGCTTTAATATACTGCGAGATTACAAAGCCAGCCCTGCATGAGGCTGCTCAATCCATGCTCACCCTGCCTGCTGCTGACTCTGTGCCCTCAGGGCTGATGCTGAGGAGAGGGGCCATTGCAATATGGGGAGGGGACAAAAAGTGTGACTCTTTTGTGAGACCCATTTCATCAGATCCTGCGTTTGCAGAACTACTTTGAAACACTTCTCTGGCTGCGCTGTGATCCTTGGACTCTGGCATCTTCCTGGCATTACAGACACACTTCATGTGGCAGGCATGACACTTTCTGCCCTGCAGATCAGAGTTCAGTGTAGTTGTTTTCAGGTAGCTCTGCTTTCCTGTGCTGGTGCCATCCAGCATCTTGGAACCAGGATTAAAACTCCAATCCTTATGGCTCAAACAAGATTTAGAGTTTCCTTCATTGTAGGCTCGTCTTTTGTGCCTCAGTGTCTGGTTTGTGGTTGTGTGGCTCTGGGTACTTTAAAAACTCAACAGCAAAGCCAGGGGCTCCATAGATGCCTTGGGAAGGTTTTCTTTGATCAATGTGATGAGACAACAGGAAGATGCTATTTTCAGCCCTACCAAAGAGTGTGCCTTGCAGAGCCTGTGGCTGGTTGACCTCCAGAGAGCAGTGGGAATGCTGTGCTTCATTAAGCTGGAGAAAACATTCTCATAAACGTCTTCTTTGCTCACCAGAGAAGAGAAAATCTGAAATCTTGTGCTAGTACAAAATAAGAGAAAAATAAAAATAAAAATACTCTGGCTCTAGAGCTTTAAATAGCGAAAAGTGAAATGTGAAAGAATTGCATGCACACTTTTTTCCTTAGTCATTCAGTGGAAGGTGGAGTAGTTAAGTCTGTGGCGCCTTTAAAATGATTCATTATTTCCATAGAAGCCAATTCATGTTTATCCTTCAAATTGCTCTGTAGACATTAAAATAATGGAGAATTATGTTTGCCTTTAATTTTGTTTCCAGACAGCTTGGCCTGAACGTTTATGATGTGACTTGGAAACCATATCAAATTGTGATTTATAGTTACTCGTAATTGTGTGAAGATTGAAGATATGCTGGATGCCACTTTCCTTTGCTTTTTTTTCTCCTCAGCTCCCCCTTTCTTTTGCTTACAGTGTTCTTGAGTGTAACGTGGTGAAAGCCCAAAATCTCTGCCTTCATTTCTTTTCCTTGTACAAGCCACAGCAAATGAAGATTTTATTTCTTCCTAACACAAGGCTGTGTGAAATGAATTGTGGTTTGTATTTGATAATTGGTTTGGGTTTTTTTTTCCTTTGTGTAAGTTTCGACTGGTTTTGTGTTGTCATGATAATCACCCCCTTTGTAGGGTGATTTTTTAGTTAAGCTGGATGAGAATCATATGCAAAACATGAATGGGGAGGGGGAAGACTTTGCTTTGTGGCAAGGCATCTGTTAAGTGTATGGATGTCAAATCTGCTCCCCAGGTGAGCCAACACAAATAGTTCATCCCTACATTTATCTATTGGGTCTTATGGCTCAAGGAATTTGTTATTCCTATTTTCCTAAATTCATTTTTCCTGTGCAGTTTTATCTGCTTTTTCCTCCTACTGAGTAAAAAGCTATTCTTAGAGTTTTGTGCATAATATAATTTAACAGAAGAAAACAAAGAGGATTTTGTGGATTGGAATAGAAAAGCCCAGTGAAGGCTATGTAAATTTTGAGAACTTTTCGAGTCATGTTGCAGACTCCAAAACAAATTATTCAAACCTAAAAATTCTAAATTATTATTAAACTTTTCCAGAATACTGTTTTAGTATATGAATATAAGAGTGTTCCTTACAGTTGTTTCCTGCCCTGACAAAAATCATCAGTGTGATGCTGGGACATGCTGCTTTTGTGGTTTGGTCCTGCACATGCAGCAGTGTGTTTTAGGGCTTTTTTTTTTTGTTTGGTTGGTTGGTTTTTCTGTACATAAAAGGAAGCCTCAAAACATGCAGCAAGTGCATTTGGGCTCACTTAGGAATTCCAGATGTCACTGTGGCCTAACCAGCTGTTTTTCAGCATCATAAGGAATTATTTTTTCTTCTTATCTTAGTTAAAAATGAGCCTGTTTAGTTTTGCTTTTGCTCCCAGCCTGTTTGCTTTCTCATTCTCATGCCCCAGAGCATTTCAGTTTTAGTCACTGCATGACATTGCTGAAATCGGGGCTGGAATGAAGTCACAAAATGAACAGCAAGCCAGTCTTATCCAAAATTCATGGGAGGGAACTGCATTCACAATTATTGGCATAGATGAGCAAATGAACGCTGACCATTGTGAAATTAAATTCACCTTATCTTTGCTCCTCGTTGTTTTGTTTTGTTTTATCAAATTAGTTGCTTGTTAGTGTTTGCAAACGTTGTTCATGCCAGTTTTCCCGAGTATCCGGCCTTGGAGCTTCAATGAGTAAAGTGGTTTGGAAAGAATCCAAATCAGTTCATGCAGAGGCTATGCACATTAAAGAACAACTTACAGAGGCTGAGTGTGGATTTTGTCTGCATTTTTACCCTAAAAGAAGACTCCGAATATATATCTGTATGCATGTGTGTCTGTGTGCATATATACAATACATATGCATATATGTGATTACATTAATCTCAAATTTTCAGCCATTTACTCTCTTGCTTTCACATCATCACAGTGATTTACACTAAATTCCAGGTCTCCTTGCTCTTTAGGGAAACACATTATCATCTACTTTCTGAATAGTGTTCTGCAAAGCATATGCAGTTCTCTACTGTTTTTTAGTAGAGACTCTGAAAAGTCAAATATTTTTAAATGTTCCCATGCGTTGAATTTGTAATAATTTTTAGAAAATAGTAATTTAAATAGCTGTAATTTTGCCTAGTCTGATCATTCTCTAAATTGACCCTGATATAGATGAACCATTCCTACTTCTTGACTCACATAACTCATCACAGCCTGGCATTTCATTGGGACAAATCTGTTTGGTCTCAGAGTCAAGGCAGGGGTCACCACCACAGGTGACAACACAGGGAGCTGGGGGCCCTGTGGCAGAAATGCACCGTGGAGAAGGGCACTCCCTCTCCCCACTTGGTGCTAATCATGGAGAACAATGCTGGCTGCTTTGCAAAATATCAGTGCTGCTGTACAGAACCTCTGCTTACAGCCCGCTGAGTCAGACTTGTTTACTTCATAGAAGTGTTAATCTCTGCCTCTGATTGGTGCTCAACTACTCCAGGCTCCAGGCTTAATAGAATTTCAAGATGTAGATGACACTGTTTTGCTGAAAATATGAGGCTTCTATCTCATTTTGAGTCATGTATTCTGCCTCGCTCCCCTTTGGTCCGTTTGCCATGGCTGAGGTTAAGATAGATAATTAATTACTCCCATCCCAAGCCTTGTCCTTTAATTTAAGAATTTTCTTTAGCATCTGCCAGAATCATTTGCGTGCACTCCGGAGATATGAAGCAATGAAGGAGCCATTAAGTTGAATTCAGGCATTAATTTTTTTCAGCAGGATGAAATAGCACTCCAGTAGATTAAGCAGTTTCTGGTTTTTGGTATTTCATAGCATGGCAAAGAAATGTGGGAAGAGGCTTGTGAGAGGATGGTGAGTGAGGATACCTATCTTCTGGTCCTGCAACTTACTTCAGTCTTAGCAAGAAGCAGGACACGAAGAAGGGATCAGGGGAGTGAAGCATCTATTTGCCAAAGGGCCTGATGTCTACGTTATGCAACTGGGAAGACAGAAGGAAGAGGTTTAGCTATACTTGACTAATATATCACTTTCCTCAGAAATGCTTTTTTATTGCCTGTAAAGCTTTTTCTGAGAACGAAGCAGTGTCACGTTGTGTTACTCTGTTCTTTGTGTTTTGAGGTCCATGAATGCTGTCACTGATGAGTCATTCCTGGCTGGGGCTTTAATCACTCTCCTTCTCAGTCTGACCAATTCTCCATGCTCTTTGCTTGCCACTCCAAGTAACTTGTACATTCTTTTCACAGACATAACTTCCCCATTTAACAAACTATGTATTTTAGCTTTTTCTAAGAACTACATGAAAGCAAATTAGTACAAAATCTGCTGCAATGGTCTCTCTGGGAAACTGCACGTACACCTGCTAAGCCCCAAACAGTAACAGCAGGACTGAGCTTACGTGTCAGAGACACAACAAAGGGAAAATGGTCACTCTTGGAGTGCCTTGAAACAGCAGTTCCATGCAGAATTTATGGTGGATTTCAGTGCACCCGTTAATGAGGCTGAAATGTCACTTCTGCACTGGAACTCCATATGCCTACTGCCTTTTTTGGTGTTTTACTTTTGTGTGCATCCAAGTCTCGCTATTCTTTATTAGAGCTTCAAGATCCTCAGATCTTTGAAATTGTGCTATTTAGCTGTCAATTCACAGACTTGAAAACTTTAAGGTTTAAAAAAATCCGCTTTTTACTCCATTTCAGTTTTGGCATAGCTGCCTAAAATGCAATTGCTTGGAGAAGAATGTTGTTGCTATCATACCAGAATACTATAATTTATTTGCATGGAGATATTTTACAAATCTCAGTATATGCTTGGGATTAATTTCACTCATCTAGGCCTAAGCACTGAACATTAGTTGTTCTAGATTAGTTGCTCTGTAGTTAGTACTCGGGCATCTCTGAGGAGAGTCTCCTCCCATCCCAAGCCATGTCTCCAAAAAATTGTTTGTGCAAATAGGCCCTGGCTATTGACCATGTCTCCACAGGGAGCCTGAACAATTTATTCAGAGGGGTTGAGTCAGCTGCAGATGGTGAAAGCTGTGAAATCAGATATGATGGAATTCCAAAGGCTTTGCAGACCGATGATTGATCTATTCAGCGTTGTTCTCTGTATTTAAATAATTATTTCGTGTTGTTATTTTTCCACCTGCAGCTGCTTTAGCAGAAGCTGTGAAGAGAGTTCACCACAGCTTGAGGCAGTGCTCAGCAGGCTGTTCACTTCTGTTGTCTCACCTGTGTCATTTCTCTCCTCTGTAGTCTTCTGGCACCAGCATCACGGTGGACATCGCTGTCATGGGAGAAGCACACGGGCTCATCACAGACCTCCTGGCCGATCCTTCGCTGCCCCCCAACGTCTGCACGTCGCTGAGAACAGTGAGCAACCTGCTCAACACACAGCTGACCTTCCAGGCCATCCACAAGCCAAGGGTGAATCCTTTGGTGTCCTTCAGCGAGAACTACACCTGCTCCGACTCAGAGGAGTGTCCGGAGAAAGGAGAGAAACTTGCAATTCCCAAGGTGAGCACTGGAGCCTATCTCTTCCTTCCCTTAATCAGAAGGGTGAAACCTACAGAAGTCAATGAAAAAGTCTCTATTGATGGCCTTCAAGTGCTTTGGATTAAGTCTAAACTGTCGTATACCCCACAAACTAACTAACAGAAATATCACAATCATTAGGATGACAAATACTGTGAGCTCATGGAAGTTGTCTTGAGAAGAAAAAGGCAGAACCATAAATAGATATATATAATACTGCCTTGAAAAACGGCTTTATGAATGCTCAGGGATCAGGTAGGAAATAACCAGTGTTAACCACCCACACTTTGCAAGTGAACAGCTAGAAAGAGCACATCAGGTTTGAAGTAGTGTGAATTGTAGGTTTGTTGCTAATTAGCTGTCCTGCACAGCTTACATTTTTCATTTCTGAAACTAAACCAAAATTCTTTTGTACTGCAGCCTCCCTTGTAAAATTAAATATAGGCAGAGTACATTACACAGGCAAGTGCTTTTATGTTTTTTACAGTTTAAATGGCACAGCCAGTCACTCATTCCAGCATTTCCAGGCATCTGAATTGCAACGCTCGTGATTCTTTTATTATAGTTTAGTGTGATGATAATTGCCGCCCTATTTGCCTGTTTAGCAGCTGTATGTACGAAATGGATGTTCACAGGTTTTTAAGCACATTTCCCAGTTTATTTTAGTGACCATATCCATAATGGCTGTACCCTAGGCTCTGAGGGGAAGAGTTAAGTGGAAGAGCACTGCTATCACATGAGTGCACAGAGGGAACAGATACTAGTTTGCTGTTGCATAATACTCTTTGAGGAGGAGAGAAATGAAGGATGAAGAAATGAGTTAATGCTACGGAGAACTAATTTGATTGAAGAATTAATTGACCTAAATGTATTATGGTTCAAAAAAGAAATAGTTTGCATGTCTTTATTTAAAGTGTCTCAAAGCAGATTTAGGACCTTCACCTTAAGTATCTGACACTGAGCATTTCGTGTAAGGAGATAATGTGTTAACATATTTATCTGCAGCTCTGAGCTTCAGAACCACAGATGTCTTCCATCTCATATTTCAAAACCCTCTGGCAAAGTCCAAGCTCTCCATTGCAGATATATTTATTTTAATTCTTAACTATAAACACTTCACGAGAACTTCACAAGAGAAACATCTTACAAAATTATAGGATCTGCAACAGCAAATCTGGCTCCAAAAAAGATCCTTTATTATCTTTGCCTTCAAAAATTTGAAAAAAACATGTGAATCCTGTTAATTGGAGAAATGGAAGAGTCAGGTGAAAGAAAAACACAGGGTGGTCAAGAAAAATCTGCTGTAAACAGTGATGCTTCCTCTAAGCTTTTTGAGACATCATATCCCAGAGCATGAAAGTTTTATTTCAGTGTGTAATCTTTGGGGGTTGAGTAGACATGGCAGGGAAAAAAGTTGGAGCTCCCCTGCCTTATTTTTCTTACAGCCTTTCTTGCCTTGAATCTCTGATTCTGAGGATTCATAACAGTTTAAATCGGAGTAGTTGAGGTTGAAAGCGCATCTGGAGATTGTCTAGTCCAGTCCTATCCCTCAGCTCATTGAGGTGAAAGTTTCTTTAGGCTCAGCCTAGACCAGGTTGCTCGGGAGGATGTCCAGTTGGGTTTTGAGTATCTCCATGAATGTAGACTTCACAGCTTCTTCAGGCACCTTCTCTGTGCTCAATCCTCCTCATAGTAAAAAAAAAAAAAAAATATATATTTTCCTACATTTTAATTAAATTTTTTGTACTTCAGTTCTTGCTCCACTGCCTCCTGTCCTGTCACTGGGTACCCCTAGAAAGAGCCTCCTCCTTTACACCTTCCCTTTAGCTTTTTGTGTACTTTTGTGATCTTTTGTGTAAGATCTACCCTGAGACTTCTCTTGTTCAGACTGAGCAATTTCAGCTCCCTCAGCCTTTCCTTTTATGACAGATGCTTCAGTCACCTTTATGGCCTTGCTAACTTGTTGAAGTACCCTTGGCCACATCAGGTGTTGAACATCTGTGGCTATGGGGCTGTAGATATATATATTTATATGTATATATATACACACACCTTCTTTTACACTTGAGATAGGGAGGATGGTCCAGACTCTCCAAGCATTTAAAGCATTGGCTGTGTTTGAAATGAATAATCCCTGGGAGAACCCAGATTTAAAGGTGTTGTCAGACAGAATGAAGCAAATGGAAATGGTTTATTTTGTGCATGTGTAGAGGTTCTGTAAGCCTGTACAAACTGTAAGGAACTGGTTTCTCCACAGCGCTTACGGAGAAGTTTGCCTCCAGGACTGCTGAGACGAGTGTCCTCAACCTGGACCACAACCACATCAGCCACAGGATTGCCCACTCTGGAGCCAGCTCCAGTGAGAAGGGACCGCAGTGCCAGCATCAAACCTCACGAGTCTTCTCCATCCAGGTTACAAATGGCCTCCTCTCACTTTTATGTTTCTCTTCAGGCAGATTTCTTTGGTTCTGTGTTCAAAACGCATTCAAAAATGCTGGCTGTGAACTGTGTTAGAATTATTTCTTCATGTTTCTCTAAATTGATTTGCCAAAGAAGCAGCGTTTCCATTTCTTGTCAGATTATGCCAAAATTATTCATATTATTGGGTAGAAAAAGAAACTTTAAGAAATCTATTTATCCTAATGAATTGTAGAACTGCCTGTCGGAATCTGTGGGTGTTGGTGATTCCGAGATTGTAGAAAGTCTCTGTCTTTCTGCCCCGTTGCCAAAGAAGAAGCCATAATTCATCTGTGCTGTTTTCAAGGTTGTTTATTTTTGCTTATCTATAACAAGTTCTGCTGCCCTGCTGCAGCTCTGTCCTGCAGGGCAGCGTGTGGGGCTCTGCCCTCAGTGGGATGGTACAAACATTATATACCAGAAATTACGTGTACTATATTTACAATAATGTGCCAATATCTGTCACCTACGTTGAACAGTGTGTCCCCAGCCTAAACCAATAGAAAAATGCCAACATCACCAAGAACATGGAGGTAAGGAAGAAGAAGGAGGAAGAAAAGGATCAGGCCCTCTTTCCTCCATCTTAGAACTCCTGACCCCCCTGTACAAAGTAAAACCCCCCTGTACAGGTGTTAAAACCCCCCTGTACAATACTAAAAAATTTTACCCTCTAATTTGTGACTACTTTTACTATACCATCTAACCCTCTGTGACTGCTTGTTCCACCTTTAAAGTTGGTAATTCATTCCATGGTTCAAACTCAAAATCACAGCTGTTTTCTGCTGTTTGCCAGGGTCTAAAATGCTTCTGACCAAGGCCTGGAACCTCTAAAAATGTCTGAGGGACATTTTGAGTTCCAACAACTGCCAAATAAAATCAGAAGAAAGGCAAGATACCTGGTTAAAGTTTTCTTGATATGCAGGGATTGCCTATGTAGTTATTGCCTAGCCAAGATAAACTGCAGCAGTTAACCCAGCCATTTTTAAAACACACCTAATGATGTGGTCCTGTCGTTAAACCAGTTCCTAAAGCACTTCTCCATCTCCTATTCTTCTCAGGGTCTGATCCCTGAGCTGGAATCATGAAGCACATGGTCCTCCCATGAGATGAAGAGAGAGAGTTGTGTCTGCTCAGCTGCTTATGGCCAGCAGACAGCTTATCTGGGGGATTTGCAGAGGTTGTAATAAAAGTTGTAATAGCTCCACATCATGTAATTACAACAGGATTTCCTCCTTTCTGGTTTCATGGATACTTCTCTGTTCTAATCAGAGCCTTCAAAGGAAGGTGGAGAGCAGCGAGTTGTCTTACAACCCTGTGAGAATAAAGTTCAGGTCCCCTCCCTACCTCAGCAAGGGCCATCATCTTGGAGCTGGTGGATGAAGAAAGGGTGTAGAGACATTGGGGAAAGGAGGATCAGAATGAAAGCACTGCATTCAAGAAGAGAATTCAGAGCTGTGACATCAGAAGAGTAATGTGCTTTTATAAAATTCAAAATTTGGTGCTGGTAGTGGGGAAAAAGGACCTTGGAAGGCCCAACATCACCAGTGTTGGCTGTTGGATAGACTGGGGAAATGCAGCCCCAAAGAACAGGTTTTTTCCTAGGCTGACCTTTCTTCGGGTACCTAAATCTATCCCGTGGATGGGGCTGTCATACAGGGTGTGGAGGTGCTCAAGGCAGCCTGCAGAGAGCCCTGAAAGTCTCATGCAAGAAAAATACATGGTTTGCCAAAGTTCCCTTTGTGAGAAGTCCCATCTGCTTCAGTAAAAGTAAATATAAGGAAGCTGTAACCAAATGCAGAGGTTTTCACTCACAGACCTGTGGTTCCTGGGGTGCATTTGATTTATGCTGTTGATCCCACTCTCACATAGTGTGTAAGTGTCCAAGATGGGAATCAGAGGGAGAGCAATTAAATATTATTGTTGGTCCTTTGCTGTGGTTGTTATATAATTCTGCATGAGGAGCCAGCTAAGCAGGCTATCAATTCTTCCTATGTTTAATGTCATAGCCAGTTGTGTAATTATAGCTCTGTCAAGCCTCCCAGCCTACTGTTTGCACTACTTCTTTCACAGTAGGAGAAGAAATGTGTATTCCAGAAAGGGGGAAAATGAATCCTATAAGTCTAGCTTTAAAAGTTTTGGCAGACCAAGAGAGATCTGCTTTCAAGGAGAAGAATTTTGAGCTGAAGAGAAAAAAACATATCTTGGTTATCTGCCACTTCCCCTGTACCAAATTCACTCCACTGGTCATAGAGAAAGAAACATTTCATAAGTTGAACAGTAGGAGAGAGGCTGACACAGGAATTGCCCTATAGCAGATTCTGTAGTTACAAAACATGTAACTTATTCCTCACAATGTGGGACATGACTTCTGGATTTCTGTAATCACATATTTGCAAAAATCCCCCATAACTGTCAGTTTGAAATTAGTAATTCTGTGCTCTTCCAACCCTATGTCACTTAACTGCGTAAACATTATACTGGAAAAATAATAGAACTTGCACATTCTTCCCCTCACCCACTTTTATATTGAGCGATTCCCCTGTAGGAACTGAAAGAATGTGGGTCAGAGATGTTTGGTTCGGTTCATTTGGGTTATTTTACTCCACAGTGGGCCAGTGTGTTATATTCCTCATGACAATTAAAAAACAAAGCAAAACTATTAATTAAAAAAAACCAAACAAACAAAACTGTATTCTTTCTTTGCCTCACTTCATCACAGATTTTAAGAATTTGGGCCCATGAAGACAATCAGCAATTTTTGTAGGTAGTACTTACTATTCCAAAACAAGATGCTTGCACGGGTAACACAGCGTCACATGCTTTTTTCTTTAAGAATGCTTTTTATTTTTTCCTTTAAGTTTATTTTTTTCAAGCTCAGCTGGAGCTATGCTACTTTAAAGGTCTGTCTTCAGCATTGAGTGTCTCCTCATCACTTGGATGTGAGGCTGTGAGGAGAAATGTGTAGCCTGAGCTGCCTGGCAGACCCATCCAGAGCTCACAGGCCTTGATAAGAGCCAGTGCTGAATCCCTGCAAGAAGCTGACATTTGATGGGTGTCATTCAGGAAAGTGAATATAAATACAGTTTTCTGGCTGTGCAGAACATTTTGGCCTATTCTGGCTAAAATCATAAACCTATGCTGCTGCAGGGGACTGACATCTGTTCCCCACACACAAGAACACGTGCACCCGGATTCCTTCAGCACAATTCTCTTGTACTGATGTCTCCAGGGTCTGAGAGGGACATTTTTTGGGGGGATGCAGCAGGCATTTCACCAGGTTAGGGCATGAAGGGGCACACCACTAACCACAACCATGCAGGATGCTTCCAGCCCTCCCCAGCCTCCTGAGGAGTTCCTCCAGTACCTGCTGTGGCACCAGCAGCAGAGGACTCTGGGTTTCCAGTTCTGCTGAGAATTTTTGTCACTTCTGGCTCTTTTAAGGAGCTGTTAAAAGAGAGCATAAACTTTTAACTTAACTTTTGAGTCTCTTTGTGCTGTCAGAACAATATAATGAAGGCATCTTTGTATAAATAAGGCAAATAGGTCTCAGCACTGAGGGAAGTCCAGCTTTGGACTGTCTGCATTGTAAATATTTTTGCTGAAGGTGGTACTGAATGCCTCACAAGCACCACTTCAGCCAACCCATAGATGCTATTTCTCTCAGCAGATTTTGAGCTATCTCAGTATCACGTACTTTTTGCTGCAGCTCCAAACTTTGTAAGATCTGCCACTGAGGCTTTTTCCCATGTTGAATGTTGCTTGTTTGTGCTCTGGTTTGACAGCTCTGACTCCTGGAACAGCTCCATTCTGATGACAATCACCAAGAGCAGGTCCTTCTCCACCTCCTACGCCGTGTCCTCTGCCAACCACCTGAATGCCAAACGGCAGAGCCGGCAAGGTGAGTAACTGTGGCAATAAATCACACAAACTCTGTTTTCTACATGGTGGAAAAAGCCCATTCTTTATTCATATAACTCCCTTTTATACAGTTTTGCAGACCTCGTGTGGGACTCCAATTAGTCAGTGGCTTTCTTGCCAATTAATTTATTGGTTATTACAAGTTGTTATTCTGTATTGATTGGTGTACATGCAGGGGAGAGTTGTGAGAGATAGTTTTCATTTTTCTATCTAATGGTTTAAAAACTGTTTATACAGGTGCCAGTTGTTTTTCCACCCAGGAATAGATTGTTATGCTAAGGAACTGCTCACACCAGGATTGCTTTCACATGGCAGCTTGCAAAGTGCTAGCCTGAAAGGCCAGCCACTGATTCCAGGAGAGCAGGTTTGATTTTATGAAGCCTTTCTTTATAATTTTTCTTCCTTACTGCAACACTTAACTGCTCCCTGTGACTAGCTGGTACATCTTTTGACTGGCTTTGACTAGCATTCTCATGACTAGGTTTTGTTCTCTGTCCAACCTGCTGCTTTTATTATTCCTCCATCAGTATAATATGGTTATTTCTTTTATTTAAGAAAAAAAAACCAAAAAAAACCCCAAAAAAAACCCAAAAACCAAACGAACAACAAAAAAAAACCCTGACACAGCTGCTTAAAGTACCATAGATTGTAGTCATGCCCTTTGTAAATGTTTTGACTCTTTTGATTTATGTAAGTTAGCCATGACATGATGCAGCAAGTGAAATACTAAATTGTGATTTATATCTTTTATATATTTTTTTATTCCCTTGGCTATAGCAGGGTACTTTGCATAACATTTGTGGCATTAGTTGTCTGTGCATATTCCTTGAGTGAGATTTCCTTAAGCACAACCTACATGAATCCATTTTGAGCTGGAAGCAGAAACTGTGTATTACCAAGCTTCATTGGTAACATAAAATTATTATTATTATTATAAGTTGATTTAGCTAAATATACAAATATATTAATTTATAAAATGTGTCTTTAATTATGCATTAAAACATTCCCATTTTAAAATACTGCTAGTTCTACCGATTTTGAAAAAAAACTCAAGTGTTTTCATATGTAATTTCACATCTCATTGAAGTCACTGTTTTAAATCTTCAACACTGCACATTTGAAGAAGTTCTGGAGGACCTACGTGCATGGATGTACTTAAAAATTCTCTTTGTATTTTTATTCTTTTGTCTTGATTTTGAAAAAAATCCCTGCTGTAGCAAGACACACTTTTTTCTCACTTTTTCCAGTAAATGACTGAATGTTGGATTATTATTGAAAAAAGCTTTGCTTTTTTCCAGTAGTTTTATTCGTGGTTACCTTCCCTAGTGAATTACTTAAAAAAAAAAAAAACAAAACAAAAATACACACAACAAAAAATATTTCAAGAAACTGGATCCCTACTAGCAGTAGAAATCTTGCTGTGATTAGAGGCATTATTGTGAAAAGGGCTGTTTAAATTCTCAGGACTTGTTTCAAATTGTTAAAAGAAGACCATAAGTATTGCATCCTCTAAAAGTTATGAACGTGACTTGGTAACATATATCTCAAAGATAGATAATAATCCAGCTCTATCCCCTGTGCAACTAACAGACTGTGAAATGTTTTTAAAGACACATTTTTGTTGGATGGAAAGCTGATAGCTCAATGAATTCATAAATGTGAAACAGAGGTTTCCAGTATTTTAAAGCCATTTCCCTGTGTCATGGCCATCTGATAACATTTTAATTGCTCTGAAGGCTGTAGTGTTCTGATGTCAAGATTAGCATTATATCCTACTTGCAATCATTGAATTAAGACACTAAATACATACCACATTTGCTGAAGAAATACCCTTAATCAAAACAGAGATGCTGGATATCTCCAAATTACAGCACAGTAACTATCAGATTTTTTTTTAACTCTTGGATTTTCATTAGTAAATCATATTTTAGCCCCCTATCACAGTAAGTTTCTATCAGGGAAAAAACACTGGAACTATATATGTATATCCTGCAAGGTTAATATTTCATAAAGTTAGATCAACATATTGCCTTATTTAAAGATAATTTTTGTGTCTGGAATGCATTTAGATAGAGGGCAAAATTCAAACATAAAACCCCTTCAAGTTCCTAAAGCCTTGCTGTCCTTTGGCTTTGAAGGTGAACGTGGTAAATTAACTGGGGCTGAGTTCCTACAAACTTCAGAACAGGAGGTAACTCAATTTCCGTGCATTTCCTTTCAAGATAGATTAAGTTTAGTCCTCTGCACTTACTCTGAGTCTCATTTTGTCTGAGACTAGGAATTGTAAAGTGGATTGCAAGAGAAGGCAGCACTTTGTTTAAACACTGAGTGCATTTCACCTTGGCAGTGATGCTCAGGTGGAATAAGGGGCAGAGAGAACTACATCTTGCTAGTGTTGCACATGTGGGTATTGGCAATTTCTGTGCTCTAGCTCAGGTGTACACTACTATGTGCTGAAGAAATGGTTGCAAGTCTATCCGTCAGTGATCAACAGATATTGGAAAATAAACTCAAGCTGAAGATCAAGGCTAAAATCTATGAGAAATGGCCCCAGAAGTGCAGTATTTTGAATAATGTATGGCTACTAAAAATTGCTCTTTTTGCTTTATAGCTAGTCTTCAAACATGTAGAAATCCAAATTTCCTGGGAATCTGTGTAAGCCTCCCTTGATCTGCTTTAGAGATGGTGAGAGAGAAACTGCAGATGGGCCTGGGAACTGCCTGTTTGGGGCTGTGTCTCTGTCACTAGCACATGTTGATACCAGCAGTCATACCACAAACTCCTCTTTCATTTCATCCACTTAGTGCATCCTGCTCACCAGGGAAAATATGCTTTGTTTTTTGAGCCAGATCTTCAGCAGGTAAAAGTGGCTGATAGCAGTGGAAGTTCCTCACTCTGTGGCAGCCCTGGGCTTGGCTCAGAGTGGAGAAGGGTATTCTTTTATCTATTTTGGTTTTGGAGACTAGGCTGGTGCATCTCAAGAAGAGTATTTCTGCACAGTGAGCTAATACAGCCATCTGCCACTTCTGTTAATTGACAAGACTCCTCTTGTCCTTGGCCAGGTATTCCACCAAATATTTCACCTCTCACCTCCCCGTGCCATTCACCGATCCAGGGGACGCCTGCCACGAGTCCTACTGGAAAAACATCTTCTGTGTCATTTCCAGAGCCTACAGACACTGACACCAAGCAGGGCCTAAAGCCACACAAAGTCTTAACTTCTACTCAGAGTGCACCTAGCCTGTCAGACCCTATCATCAGCCCCTCCATCATCTGCAGCAGGTAAGATGGTAATTTGACATGCCTTGCAATCATTTCACACTGTTCTCATGAACGTGTTCTGTTGGCCCACCTACAAGTTTTTGTGATTTACTACAGTGTTTATATTGCTATTTCAGGTTTATAGTACTTCAATAAATGTGTAGATCAATGCTACAAAATACTTTTTAATTAGGAGACTGTTGGCTATGTTTATTGCTATGTTTATTACTTTTGCTCCTGTCAGGTGGACAGCCTGATTCATAAATAAATTCTTTGTCAATAACCTGCAGATCCCAAAACTGGATTTCAGCTTGTAAACATGAGCCATGGAGCCATGCCATTAACATGAGCAGTCACCTTTAGGTCACAGGCCAAGGCTTGCACAGCAGGCACCTGATGTGGCATAGAAAAATCTGGCAGCTAGGGCCTGAAGACTCTGTGATTTTGAGCCTTCACTCAGGAGGAGTGGGTCCTGTCTTCCCTAGGCAGAGTCAGATTAGATACTGTGGGGATTTTTTTTTTCCAGAAATCAACTGCAGATCAGTTTTTTTCTACTGCTCAGAGCTCCAGTAACACAGTTTACCTTTCTTACTTTAAAGTGCCCCTTTATTAGGTAACACAGACCAGACCTGCTTTGCAAAAGTTGAATTTTGGAAAGAAAGTTGTTCTGCTTGTCTTCTCAGAAAGGATTCAGTTGCTAAATCAAATTACTGGAGTTTGCAGTATGTGTCCAGTTCAGAACAGTGGGAAACTGGTATTCCCAAGCCTTTTCCAGTGCAGCTTCAAGATTGCTTTACTCACCAGATGTTACTTTTGGCCACAGCACAAGTGGCCAGCCAGCAGAGAGCACTATCAAGTTTGACTATCTTTGGAAATAGTTTTTAGTTGCTGCCTTCAATCCCATGACTTTGGATGTGTCTCAGTGTGCTGTGTGCAAGGCTAGGAAGTGGCTGTGAGAAAGTCAAAATTGAGATTGCAAGTTTGCTCATCCTCACTGGAGTTCGGAGTAGGATTCAAACAGGCTTTTGAGTTGGATTTAGATGACTAAATAGAAACTTAAGTGCTTTTAAGAGTTTTCCAAAGGAATACCAGAATTGGGATTTGGAGAGATTAATTTGAAAGTAAAACTATATTACATAACAGGAATATAGCATAAAGGTGCTGCAGTTTTATTAGGTTGTGCCTTTTTTACCACTTCAACAAAATAGTGTTATTTCACGAGTGGCATTCATTTCTGGAAGCCTTCTATTAAAAAGAACATTTAAGAATTGCATTAAAACATGTCAAAAAAGAATTAATGTGAGGTTGTTGGAGATTGTAATGAAATTAATACTTTTTTAATCTTGTTTATCAACCTGTCTGATAGAAGATTTATTTGCTGGGCTATGCACTACAGGTATCATTGAATACAAATTAGCATTTTTATTTGAAATTCTTTCAGGAACTCATGATGTTTTCAGGGCATACCAAGCTCGAGGATATGTTTGGATGACCCAGTCAAAAGCTAGCTGGCATGGGAATTAAGCCATTTTTATATGTTGAACTTAAAATGGTTCAAAGTTCTAGTACAAAGTTTGACCAATTCAAATAATTCTGTAATACTTGCTTTGTGAAGACTGTTATATATAAGATATGCCACAAAATGCTGACTCAAATCAGAGAAAATTTTGACATGTCAGGTTGTAATTAGGGTTTAAAGGGAACTATACACAAGGAATAAAGCTTTTTAATGGAAGGGAAGTGCCAGTCATTTTAAAAGGTCATAATATTGTGATTCCTCCCAAAATATGTTTCTGTTCCGGAAATGATGAAGCAAACTCTGCCCTCTTGGTTCTTATGTACTTGGTATGCTGTCACTGAAGTAATGATAAAATATAATTTTCCTCCTTAAGAGGAACATATTCAAATTCTAGGCAAGAAGAGTGAAGCCAGATCATGACTGTGTTCAGACTGAATTCTGTATGATTGTATGGGACTCTGGCAGCTTCATAATTTTAATTCATCTTTGTAGGGCATCTGTAGTATAGAACTAGGGGATTTATTTTGTGCTGGTATACTTAGGGAATAATAAAAAAATCCATTGAAGAAATCACATGGTTCAGGTTTACTGTTGAAAACACAAATTTAATGGTGGTGGGCAGTTAATCCAAGTATTTTTGTCCTGAGATGCAATAAAACTTTAGGACTCTCCTGTGATTTTGTCTGGAGAGCATACCCTAAAACGTGACTTCTACTGTATGACATAATCTCACACTGCCAGTGGGAAATCCTTTTACACACGACTGTCTAAGGCACATGATTCTTCATATTGTGTGTGTTTCTTGATGTATTTCAGCTGTGGCAGACCCTACAACCAAATAGAAGCTGGCAATGGGACACTAAATAGAAATGATGCTACTACACACACCCTGAACAGAACAGGTAATTCTTTGTCAAAAACACCTCCTTCCCTCAAATTCAGTAATCATCCACTAAAAGGGCAGACGAGCTTGTCTGTCACAAAAGGAGACCACACACAGGTCAGTCCATACAAATTGTCTTTGACAATTTCATGTCCAAATGCTCCTTCCCTTTTCGTATGTACAACACGTACAAAATGCTTATGGAGTTAAATTATAAAGGCTATACTGTTCCCCTCAATTTACTTAAATAGTGGTCTTCAAAATTGTTTCTCTCTTCATTCCCTGCTGCCATTTTTTACACTCTGCAGGGTATATCTTCAGTGCCCTTGGACAGATTGTCCGACTTCGGAGCCAGCCAAGCAGCACATATGTATTATGAGTCAGAGCTCCTGTTGCTGTTATCCAGGTCACAGGATGACTTCCATGAAACCCTTGCTGTTCACACCACAGGCTTTGTGATTTGTGTTTGTAGATGATCCTGCTCAAGCCACTTCTGACTACGAGACCAACAACAGTGACAGCAGTGACATCGTGCAGAACGATGACGACACGGATTGCTCCAAGGAGCAGCCACGGAAGGGATCTGGCTGTAGGTCCTACACACCCGAGACCATCATCCTGCATCCCTTGACACCACCTGAGGTAGCTCCTCTAAGTTCCTCCAGCACAACAGAATGAGTGTATGCTGACACTGAGGGGGAAAAAATACACAAATCAAAAATCAAACTAACAAAAAACCCAGATCCCTGCAGAAAAAATGTGGTCTAGGGATGCTGCAAGGTATTGTTGTGTTAAACAACAAATGTTTCAGTGTGATGAACAAATTATGATTGTCTCACAGCATTCAGCTGTGAGCTCTGTTGAGATGCAGAAGGAAAGCTTTGTTCAGTTAAGTTTTCCACAGTCTGTTGTACAACTGAATTAATAATCTGCAGTTGGCAGGAGTTCTTGAAAAATTTATTGTAATCTGCTGGAGTTGGACATGCTGAGAGAAGGCATTTTGCTTGAAACATTCTGGCATTTACTCATCTCCAGTTTCTAAGTGAAATAAAATTCCAGGGAGTGTACTGGGAGAAATGTGAAATGGATGCACAACCCAACTTTTATTTGCAGACCTTGAGAAACTGATAGGTTTCAGTTTAAGGACTACAAATCTTCACTCGGACTGAGCTCTGTTAGCCATGTTAGAGTCTAGTGAATTGGTCCTGATGCAGCAGCAGAAACTGAGAGCTTTTCTCTCTGTACCACAGTGAATTTCACAATGAAGGCAGCCTCCCTTGGAAATGAATGAATGGTTCCCATGAGTGAATGAATGAGTGAGTCTCAGTGCAGACACTGCTGTTTCATAAACAGAATTTCCTATCCATTCAAGTGAAACGCATTACAAAGGAGAGTGAGTAGCTGCAGGGCTGCAAGAAATGAGGACATCTGCACTGAGCTGAATGAAATACCACTGACTTACACACGAAGCTAATGTGACTTTAGCTTTTAAGAGCATCAATTTTTGCTTGAGATGCTTCACTGAACTAACAATCCTCTTTTATTCTGACTTCTGGCACAGGACAAGCCTGTACTGGCTCCTGAACCTCTGGTTATGGACAACTTGGATCCCCTGATGGAGCAGCTAAATAGTTGGAACTTCCCAATCTTTGATTTGGTGGAAAAAATTGGGAAGAAATGTGGTCGGATTCTCAGTCAGGTGAGAGGTGCACCTTGTCTGCAGTGTCTGGGTAGAATGTTGACAGATTTAGACACAGACATGTTAAAAAGCATTGTCCTTACGAGCTGATGATCCAATGAACTGTGACCCCTGATACCTAATTCAAAGCTGACAATATGGACTCTGCCTCATTTTATTCCTTGCTTTTGGATGCCTTTATTTTTAAATTTAAAAATGTGAAAGATAAAAATCACACACCTATTTTTCCTTCTGCTCTCTGCTTTTCTGAATATTCTCCTGAGATGCTTCCAGCCCTTACTGGGTTCTTTGGGAAAGAATTTCTCATGGGTTTAGCATGGGAGGGCTAAACAGTAAATATATTCAGTGGATGCAAGATATGCAGAGTTTTGGTCCTCTTTTTTTCTGAAGATCAGTATAAGATCCCAGAAATAAAAGATTTCAGATTTCAGGCTGGGCAAGAAAGCAAGGTTTGAGGAAATGGGGTTAGAAAGAATCCTTGCTATATTCCCTAATTTTTAAAGAATCAGAACTTAAAGATAAAATTCATATAATATTACATAAGGAAGATTTGCTATGAGTTGGGAGAGCTCACTGGTCTTTCTTTCAGCTCTCAGATTTTTATTCCTCCGTGTGGGTGTAATTCAGTTACTGACACAGCCTGTGTCTAGCCAGCACGATTAGTGTCACCTTCCATAATCACTTTCTTGGCTGAACCTTCTACTCTGTTATGCCCCTTTTCCTGGCACACTGACAAATTTGTCGTTTCTTTTCTTATAAAAGCATTGAAGATTATTAAACAGGAAAAGCAAGTAATTATTTTTATTATTATTTAGGGATGAAAGGGGAAAAAAAGCCCGAGAGAATCAGATTGAACAAGGATCACTTTACAAGGCATTATGTAGTGATGAGTGCTGGAAAGAGGAGATAAAGTTAATTGGTACAATGTGGTACAATTATCACCCCCCCAAAAAAACACAGAGGTTAGTGTGTCAGGCAGATTTCAGTGTAACAAGCTTCAGAGAATGCTGGATCAAATCACAGTCCCTTGGTGGTTACCTATTATTCAGCTAGATTCAATTATCTGGTGGTCAACAAGGAAAACCATGGCATGAATTCAAATTTATTCTGTGGTCTGCTTTTTAGTGTTCTGCAGCTTGGCAAGCAACGTCTGAGTTTGACCAGCCTGCCAAGTCTCCAGGTTCATTTCAGAGAAATAGGCAAACTGTGGATATTGGATATATTTATTGGATAAATTCAGTGGTGCTCATTGAGGCACTTTTGCACTAGACAGTGAGTGTGGGATTGAGATGCTCTTCTAGATCATACTGTTCATTTTTCTAACAGCATAGAATGATAATAGAATGATGAATGAAACAGAAGGAAGACCAGAACTTTCTTTTAATGGCATAAAGAACAGTTTGGATGAGCCAAAAGTTGTTCTGGTTTTACATGGGTCCCTCTGTAGGCTTTAAGCATTTCACCAAGCTGCATGGGGTTCTGTACCTCTGGACACAAGTCCTCTGTGCTTCCCTCAAATTGCACTAAATCCCCTCACTCTACTTCCCAAAATCTGATTTTTGCACAGGTTCCCAACATGTTGTCCACTTCACAGTTCCACAAAATGAGGCTTGAGAGATAAAATAGAGAAGCTTTAATATTTGTGATGAAAATTCAACATTTTCTGTAACAGCTGTTTATAATAACTCCCTCTCCCTAACAGCAAGTTCACCCTTGTTCACAAAATAGAGATCCTTATTACCCTCACCTACTCAGATCTTGCTAATTAAATTATTTTCAGAAATCAGGAAACTAAAGTATATAATTATTTTTCTCCAGCCAAAAGCACTAATTTTTTCTGGTTTGATTTTTAAATCCTAGGATATTATTAATAAAGGTAAACAAAAGCTCTAATGATTTATTCTCTGTATTTTGCTATTAAATGGACTAACCCATTAAAAAAAAAAAAAAAAAAAAAGGAGAAAAAGAGTCAATTAAAAACCTGAATTAACTATGTTTGCCATGCTAGGTTAAATTTATGAGCTGGAACAAAGCAAAGTTGACACATGCCTCCAGGGAAGCATTCAGTTTAGAAGGCAAATGCTGGCTTAGCATCTTTGAAGCTGCTTGAGATATCTGTTCCTTCTTTGTGTAATGTTAAATTGATTTAGACATATAAAAAGACCCAAACCAGTCAGGAGCCATGAAAGCATCTGTGCAAGCTGGAGTGGCAAGCCCAGTCAATGTGGCAGTGACAAATGTGCATGGCAGGGTTCAGAGAGGAGCATGAATTCAGTCTCGTTACACAAACCAAGAGCCAAGCTCTCAGACCCGAGCTATTGCTTCCTACGAGGCCATAAAATTCAACAATATCTTCAGTCACACTTAACACTTTTCATACAGCTCCTGTAAGACTAAAACCTGTGGTTTGGCTTTTCTTGCAGGGCCCAGAGAGAGAAGTGGGGGTGCTTCTCTGCTGGCAGTGTCAGAGGCAGGGTGGCATCACTGCAGGGCTCTGAGATGTCCCTGCAGGATGACAGGAGGATTATTTGGCCCTCTCATCATCACACGTGGGAGATGATGGAATATTCCTGGGATCATCCCAGCAGCCCTGAGAGGAGTTTGTCAGAGGCAGAGACTGGGTGGCAGCAAATTCCGAGGAGCACAGGTCTGAAGGGAGCAAATACACGAGACACAAAAAGGGCTGTGAGAGGGCTGCCTGCAGACACTGAGAAAGGAACTGCAAATCCAAACTTTACATCCATTGCTGTGTGCCTGCAGGAGAGGGGCTGGGTGTGAGTAACAGCCCAGCAGCAAAAAAGCTTCCATCAGGAACCCTGCAGAAGTGCTTGTCCTTGGTCAGGCAGCGCCACCAAAGTCTCTCAGTTAGAAATTATTCATTCAAGCATTTTGAGCCGTGCTCTGAGGCAGGACAGGGAGGCTGGAGGACAGAGGCAGCGTGGTGAAACCCTCTGCCAAGCCCCTGGCAGGAGGGGACACATCTCAGCACAAGTGCTCAGCCCACAGGATTCCAACTCCCAGGGAGCTCCTGAAACAGCACGTGGGCTGGGAAGAAAGTATTTTGATAGACAGAAGCACATTAAAGTATTTAATCAAGAGCAAGAAATTTTAAAAGCTGCACAGTTAATTTTTCTGGGGTTTGTTGTTTGGGTTTTCTTTTTTTTTTTTTAGTTTAAGAATTTGACTAGTTGACTTTTGGGAGGATATCAATGCTCTTTTTTCCTCCTTCTAGCATGCTTTTACACCTGCTCCCTCCCTATTTGCTGAGAGAGAGAAAGAAAGAGGAGGGAATGGAGGAAGGAAGGAAAAAAAAGAAAGAGAGAAAGGAAAAAGAAAAGGAGAGTGAGAAAGAGAGAGAAAGAAAAAGGAGGAAGATATATATAGAGAAAGAGAGAGAGAAAGAAAAAGGAGGAAGGTATTTATATAGAAAGAGAGAGAGAGAAAGAAAAAGGAGGAAGGTATTTATATAGAAAGAGAGAGAGAGAAAGAAAAAGGAGGAAGGTATTTATATAGAAAGAGAGAGAGAGAAAGAAAAAGGAGGAAGGTATTTATATAGAAAGAGAGAGAGAGAAAGAAAAAGGAGGAAGGTATATATATAGAAAGAGAGAGAAAGAAAAAGGAGGAAGATAGATATAGAGAAAGAGAGAGAGAAAGAAAAAGGAGGAAGGTGTATATATATAGAAAGAGAGAGAGAAAGAAAAAGGAGGAAGGTATATATATAGAAAGAGAGAGAGAAAGAAAAAGGAGGAAGGTATATATAGAGAAAGAGAGAGAAAGAAAAAGGAGGAAGGTATATATAGAGAAAGAGAGAGAGAGAAAGAAAAAGGAGGAAGATATATATAGAAAGAGAGAGAGAGAAAGAAAAAGGAGGAAGATAGATATAGAGAAAGAAAAAGGAGAAAGAGAAATATATATATAGAGAGATATATATAGAGAGAAAGAGAAAGGGAGAAAGAAAGAAAGAGGAGAGAGAGAGAGAGAAAGATTTTATGTTTTTTTTTTAAAGAGTTACTAAAATGGCCAATTTACTTGCAGAGAATAATGCTATTTTACTCCAAGGCAGAGGGAAAAGCTGTCATTCCTACACATCACGGTCAACTTTGCTTCTTTTCAACTATGGAATTTCCCAGCCCCCAAAATCCAAGGGGAGAAAAAACATGCTTTTATGACACGCTTTATTTAAGATACCTGTCCAGTTCTGCTAGTGTGCACAAGTGAGATTTGGTCCTGCTGAATATTATTTCATTATGATTCCTCTTTTCATACAGAGATGCTTTGCTGGAAATAAGTGGCTTACATTCCACTGACCTAACACTAGGATGTAAGACTCATCTGTCTGTAGGTAAAATATTGGATCCCAGCTGATATAGTTAAGCCATGATTCTAGAGAGATAAACAGGGTTATATGCAGATTCTAATCCTAATTATGCATAAGGTCACTCTATTCACTCTGCCTAACCACAGGGGGATCCCCTGGGGTTTTCAGAGAGTCTTTTACAGGCTCTACCTTTTATTCTAAGCTCTTGTATTCCAGAGCACAGTAGTTCAGGTATGGTAGGGAGAGAAGTGAGAGCTGGGACCCCCAGCAGAACCCCCCTGTCACATTTTGGTCACTAGAGGGTCATTCTGGATGGGGTCAGACCCCACACTCCATCTGCCTCTGCATCATCACTGCTTTGCCAGGATTAGTTCATAGGCAGGTTTTTCCTGGTAGGGAATGACCATGAGGGGAGGCAGGAGGAAGATCATTAATGCTGCAAATTAATTTCCTTTCTTTTTTTATTCTTGCCCTAAAAATCCACAATGGCAGTTCATTCAACTTTAGGTGCAGCTCATAGGTCCCAATTTAGATACAAAATATACAGACACAAGCAGGTGTGGATAGATGTTTGATTTATACTCAAATGTAAAACACAAAGTGTAATTTGTGACCATTTCTTGCCCTGAAGCACACATCAGTCCAAATGTGCTTCAAGTTGCTTAGCTCTAAGCAGGTTTACCAGGCAGGTGGCATCAAAAGGACAGAATTTAGCTAACAGCAGTAAAAAAATAAAATTCTGCAAGGCTTTGGAGTCCTATTTGCGACAGAAGTGAAGAGATCAGGCAGTGATTTTACTCTGTCCCATTATTTTGTATGTGAAGTTCAAACTTGTCTTCAGAAGTGCCCATTTTGTGTCAGCTGCTGCCTTAATTTCTGAGCATCCTCCTCACTCATCCATGGCATTCTCCTTCCCATACATCCTCTCCTAGATGTTTACAGTCACCTTTGGTGCAGGAATGCTTAGAGCAGCTCTGCCTCCTAAGCTATTTGCTGCCCCTGATATCCTGTTGGAGTCATTTTTATCATTTCACTTCCAAAATTGGAGAGAAAGCAAGGACACAATGCATAGGAGCCACATGGTTCCCCCTTCTGTCAGTCCTTTGCTTGTTCTTCCTTTTCTGGGAATTGATTTGAGTCAAGGATTTGGGAAAATACTACCAGGAAAGCAGATTTACACGGGGTAATTCAACCTAAGGAGTTTTATATCTAATTTGTAGAGTTTTTCTCATCTACTTAGGAGCATGAATTTTTTTTTGTTGGTTTTTTTTTTCTTTCAGGTATCATACAGGCTTTTTGATGACATGGGGCTGTTTGAAACCTTTAAAATACCAGTGAGGGAATTTATGAACTACTTTCATGCTTTGGAGTGTGGATACCGAGAGATACCTTGTAAGTAAAAATTTCTGGCACATAATGATGCTTCCTTGAAGTTTTGGGGATTTTGTATTGAAGCTTTTCTTCTTGCATTATAAAGCTACTTTTTTTTTTCTTCCATTACATCATGACCCAATGGATGACTAGGCAGAGGCTGGTGCTGAACCACAGCCTAATATCTTTTTTTCTTTGTATTTCATCTTTTACATTGTTTCATAATTCATGGCAAAATCTGCCAGAAATCATATAAAGCTATTATAAGTAAAGGCTGTTTCCTGATAATGCAAGTGTACCCCAGTGCTCCAGTTGGAGGCTCTTGAAATATTTGAACCCCTAAAGGCAACTTGGACTTTTACACAGTAGCAGCACTATGCTACCACAGGGGAGCTGAACTTTATAAGCAGAAAAAATATGGCCAAAACATGAGTGAAGCCTGTTCAGTTACTACAGCTTAGCTGATATTTTTCAGTGGGAAGCATTTATTCCCTGAAAAGCCTGTTTTCAGTCATCCCCAAAGTATCTGCTAATTCAAACAAAATTTATCAAAGTGCTTCAGCTGCCAAAGATTCTGTTTTGAGGAAAGAGGAAGGAGTTATCACCCCCTTTAGGTGGTAGGTAAACCCAGCACTGAGGAACACAGAACACCCTGTTTTCTCTACACTCACAGAAGAATGTGGGAAACATCATTATAAGTTATGTATTCTCTCTGTCAAATACTAAATACCAATTGGAGCAGCTACAGTGGGAGGGATTTAAGGAAAACTACCTCACAATGCCTTCAGCCAGGTGGTTTTGAGTTTGTTCTGGGGAAGTGAGAGACCCAGTTTCGATCCTTTCCTTGTGTTTGAACTGGGTCAGGGATCTAAAGCAGCAGATCACAGCTTGAGGAGGTTAGAGATGGAAGTCCCACAGCCTGTTCTGCTGAAGCCATTCCTTTCTGTTTGAAACATTTAACTATTCAGAGAGTCTCTGGGATTTTTGTGAACCTAGACTATATTTCCTTGTTTTCTTCTTAAGTGTTTTTTTGTTTTACTAAAGAAGAATCTTTTTTCTAATACAAGATGAAGTTATCTTCCTTCTTTTTATTTCTGTGAAAAAGGTAAAACCAGGTCTGATGCTCGTGATAATGTTGGTTTTGTCTCTGCTGGACTGCCTGCCACACGGTACCCACTAGATGGTGCTGATAGCCCTCTGTCAGAAATCTCCTGGTGTTTTATAGCTGGATGGTTTTCTTCCCATCACAGATCACAACCGAATCCATGCCACTGATGTTCTACACGCCGTGTGGTACCTCACAACCCAGCCCATCCCAGGACTCCCAACTGTGATCAATGACCACGGCTCAGCGAGTGACTCAGGTAGATTTAAGTGCTGTCATCCTAAAGTTTCTCTCATTAAATTTGCTGTCAGAAAGGCAACAAGCTGGGGGTTGCATGCAGAATTTTTTTGCAGTCTGTAGCACGGTCTTGAAGTTCACTAGCACAATGGATGTTGAAAGGTGTTCAGGTGTGTTTGTGTAACTTTGAAAGGAATGGAATTGTTCCTCCAAAACCTAATACTTAACATTTAATGATGTGTAAATGCAAGCCTTTGTGGTCACTTTTAGTGACAGATGTTTGTTACCATTTGATTTTTGCAAAAGTTTTTTCCTAGGAAAACTGTATTATTAATGTTTTGCAGTGCTGTATCAGAGGCAGTGTAGCCTTAAATCCTTAAACCCTTCATTGTTTTGCTATTCTACAATTTCTGGGGCATGCAGGCAGTGCTGTGCACTTGCTACTGCTTGGCTCTCATGAAATGTTGTTTGCTTTTTTCCACTATCTCCAAATAAAAAGACTTGTTACCATCTGGCAATTGCTTTACAAGACCACACTTCTTCTGTTTTATGATTGCTCATTACAGGAAACTGTTCTTCTTGATTTTTTTATATTAATTTATCAGTGTTCAGCTGTGGCAACTAGAGGGACCTGTCTGTGTTTTGTGGGAGTGCTCAGAGAGTTCATGGAAAAGCAGGAGTTTGTTACATTTATGCTTCTTTTCTTTCTTTTTTTTTTTTTTTTTTTTTTTTTTTTTGTGTGTGTGGTGTTAAATGGTTTTAGTTTTATTCCTGGAAAAATTTATTAGCAAGGGATTTCAATGGCTTTGTAGATGAGGTGGAATGAAAGGGGTTGAGTTCTGGGACTTTTTGAAGTTTGTTATTTGAAAGACATTATTCAGCTGCATGCAAGATCCATTCAAGGTTGTTCAGATTAAATTAGCGAAGCATCTCAGTATCTGTCTCTGTCAGGTATGCTCAAGATGCTTCAAAAAAGGGATAAGAGGATTATCAGCAAAGATCCAGAGTCTAGGCATTTGTATTGGAAAACACACACTGTAATTTTAAATTATTAAATTCTAGTCTATTGCTTTAAGGACTATCAGTGTCTCACGGACTTGTCTACATGATGAAAAAAAATTAGAGAAAGGAGTGGGATGCTCAAGTTTCCCCACAAAACTCCAGCATGGCTGTGAATCCTTATCTCACTGCTTGTAACTTACATAGTTGGAGAATTGGTTTTGCTGGAGGGCTGGAAGATCTCCAGGTGGGATCAGAATTTGTTCCTTCCCAATTGTTTGCCTTATTGTACTGGATCATAGGCACAGCAAGCACTGAGGTCAGGCTGCATTTATTCTTACTGTGAATTTGCTCCTTCTCTCCTTGCTTTATTGTTTCTCTTACAGTAGGTCACTAAAAAAGTGGCACTGGATTTTTCACTGTTTTCATTTCTTTATTTCTGCTCAGATTCTGACAGTGGAATCACTCACGGCCATATGGGATATGTGTTTTCAAAGACATACACACCTACAGATGACAGCTACGGATGCCTGGCTGGCAACATCCCTGCCCTGGAGCTGATGGCTCTTTATGTAGCTGCAGCCATGCATGATTATGATCACCCAGGAAGGACCAATGCCTTCTTGGTGGCAACGAGTGCTCCTCAGGTAAATAAATCTCAGGCAGTGTTGCCGTACAGTTTGGAAGGTCTCGATGACAGCTTTTCCTTGATAGTGGTGCCTGTGGCTTCCATTAAGCACAAAGTCTGCCAAATATTTTGAATCAGCTTGTCAAAGTGACAGAAATAATCTCTTCACTTGGGGATTGCTGGTAAGAGTCTTCTTACACACCCTCAGTTAGCAGAGCTGTTGGGAAAGGTACTGATAAACTGTGTCAGTGAAGAAGGTAAAGCTCTGCTGACTGATAGAGAACTTGTAACTGTGGAAGAATGGAAGAATTTTTCTACCAAATAATGCACAGAAAGATTAAATAAAATAAAACATCCCAGTTGTGTAGCTGACTGTGCTTTGCAAGTTTATCATGCATGATCATAACACATTTTCTGTTGCTATAGAATATGAGCAGCTTCAGTCTTTTTAATAAAGTGTTTGGAGGCAGGAAGGGGAAGATAATCTCGGTGTTATAAATGTGGAATTGAGGCTTGCCTAAGGTTACACAGAAGTTGCTGCCAGTCCTGAGAGTTGAATTCAGCAATTCAGAGTGACTCTGCATTGGCTTAATTATGAGATCATCTTGTCTTGCTTTACATAGCTGACCTGCCTGGCTTCAGCACACTGTGCTGAAAAATAGTCATATTGATGAGGAAATTTAAAAAAAATACATCCTAATGATGGCAGGTCAGGTAGGGATGCAGAAATTCTAGATTTACTCCCTAGCTTACAACCAAACTTCCTCTGTCACCAAGAGCAAGTTGCCTGAACTTGCTCTGGTGTCACTTTGTGTATATGAATGGATAGAAATGCTTCTCATCCTTGCAATGTATTTCTGTGATCAAAAGCTTTGATACTCTGGCCAGGTATCTAGATTGGGAGAAGACATGTGCTATCTTTTAAATCTAATTTTAAGAAACAAGTGCTACAGTTCTGTGCTTGTAAAAAACAGAAAAGGAAGCTAGAAGATTAGTCTTTATGTACTGACTCTAGTTTGAAAATAAATTAATAGGAAAAAAATTGTTGTTGTTATTTTCTGAATGGAATTATCATCACTATGAGAGTTCAGTATCTTATTTTGGTAAAGATTTGACTTATTTTGGATTTAGCCCTGAGATATTTGTCAGGCTGAGTACATGTTTTCAGGTTGCAAACTGGAATTTCTGCAAACTGTTTCTGTGTTTGGAATCAGTCCTACATGGACACAACTGCCTGGTGCAATTACCAAAGAGCAGTAGTTCATTAAGGGAGGTTCATTCTGGCAATCAGGGAAGCATACACCTCTGTTATATTAGCCATCAACCTATGGCCTGAAACAGGATGATCCATTGCTGTGATTTTGCCAAGATGGTTTTGCCAAGACAGTTTTGTGTAGATGGTTTTGTGTGGCTAGTTTTGTGTGGATGGTTTTGTGTGGATGGTTTTGTGTGGATGGTTTTGTGTGGATGGTTTTGTGTGGATGGTTTTGTGTGGATGGTTTTGTGTGGATGGTTTTGTGTGGATGGTTTTGTGTGGATGGTTTTGTGTGGATGGTTTTGCTAGGATGACTTTTGCCAAGATGGTTTTGTCAGGATGATTTTTGCCAAGATGGTTTTGCCAGGATGATTTTTGCCAAGATGGTTTTGCCAGGATGATTTTTGCCAAGATGTTCCTCAGCTGCCCCGCGTTGCTTCCACAGGCGGTGCTGTACAACGACCGCTCCGTGCTGGAGAACCACCACGCTGCTGCTGCCTGGAACCTCTTCATGTCCAGGCCAGAGTACAACTTCCTGGTCAACCTGGACCACGTGGAGTTCAAGCATTTCCGCTTCCTCGTCATCGAGGCCATTCTGGCGACTGACCTGAAGAAGCACTTTGATTTTGTTGCCAAGTTTAATGCCAAGGTGAGATCAGTTTGGGTTTCTGGGGGATGGTCAGAAAATATTGTGGTCCTTGCTTGTAGCATCCACCAAAAAAGAGTTTCTATTTCCTCTGAATGTCCTTTTGGCTGCTGTAAAATGTTGAATAATAATCTGGCCTTTCTGTTGGGTTTTCACTCATTTAAAGTTAGTGACGCAGTGACACACAGTGACACATATTTACTTGTTTGGTTTTTTTTCAGAAAGTGGTTTAAGGCCAAAAATATCACAAACTGTTTTTTACATTCTACTTTTCAAAATAGCTTTCTTGTTCACTGGCACTTTAGACCTATGAGAAAAGCACTGGGGGAAAAATCCAAGGTGTTATTACCCAGTTTCCATAATGGCTACTTTAAGTGAATTTTTACTGATTTAGTCGTACTGTTGAATTATGAAAGCAGAAATCAGAGCAGTTTTGACATTCTGTTTTCAAATGCAGTGAAAGCGTGGTCTTCCTTTCCTTTCTCTTTCCAGAGAAGGATCACTAAACCTCTTTCCTGCATGCTCCATTCAGTGAGCCATAAAATCACAACCCTGGGAAACCATTCTTAAAAACTGTTTACAGTTTCAACCTAACTTATTGGAAATCACCTCCTATTAAGGTATTTTAATAAACTCCATCACCCATCAAAGCTTTTGGCCTGTTAACTAGATACCTGCCTTTGAAGCTAGTTCTTGTTCCTTGTGAGAAACCCCCAAAAACAGTGTGTTTTGTATCTGGGACCTCCTAGCTGTTTTGGTGGCATGGATAAAATGTTTTTTATCCATGTGGCATTACTTAGGATGGATCTGTATGCTGACACTTTGAAGCCTCCACACATACAATTGGCGTTGTTTTCCATTTCCCTGTAACATCTCTCTTTGTCAGGCTTTAAGAAGTTGTGGAGAAAGGCTCTAGATGTGGTCCAGGGTAGAAAGAGAACTGAGCTGTAGATCCATAAAAGTCTGAGCTCCTTGTGCACCCCTGCTAGTCATGTCCCCTCCAACCTTAACCTTCCTGCTTTTATTTTAGAGCAGCTGACAGTATGTATCACTTTTTCTTGTGTGAGGTATGGGAAAAATACAGAAAAGGAAAAAGAGAGGAAATAGTTTCAGCCATGCTTAGATCAAACAGGGAAATGAGCTCATTACACACATTTTCATGCTGCAATCAAGCCATCATGATATTTTACAGTAATTCGTATTTACACACCAATAGGTATTAATTTGTTGAAAAATGTCATGGAAAGATTGCATTTGTTTGTTTTCCTAGTAAATGCTTTGAAACACGTGCATAATGTGTTCTTCTAATATATAATATTATATTATGTATTATATTATGTATATTATGTATATTTTATTATGTATTATGTTATGTTAATTATATATATTATATATATTGAATAATATTATATATAGTATATATAATATATATTCTTTATAGAATATATTATTATTCGTTATATATAGTATATATATAATAGATAAACTATTATTATTCATTATATATATAGTATATATAACATATATATATATACACACACACTATATATAGAATATATAATAATGATATTGACTTCTCATTATTCATCTCAGTGTTCCTTGGTCTTCACTTTTTTTTTCCCTTTCCATATTGATAATTCCATCCTGGGGTTAGCTCACCTGCTTATGCTAGTGATTTTGTGAAATAGCAAAATATCTTGTGCAATACCCCAGGTCAGATCTTGCTCTTTAGCCTGGGATTACCACTTGGTTTCCCTTTCCCTGTCTCCCAGGTGAACGATGATGTTGGAATTGACTGGACCAACGAGAATGACCGCTTGCTGGTTTGTCAGATGTGCATCAAACTGGCCGACATCAACGGGCCTGCCAAATGCAAGGACTTGCACCTGCAGTGGACAGAAGGCATCGTCAATGAGTTTTATGAACAGGTAAAGGCATTCCAAAGCTGCCTGCCTGGTGTTCTGGAGCATGACAGTGCTGGTGGCCGCTGAGAAATCACAGAGATAGAGGCAAAGAGGATGGCTAGAGTCACATTAATCCATTTTTTCTGATGAGCCAGTGAAAGTCCTTTTTTCACTGAAGTTTCTGATGTGTCCTCAGAAACCTCTGGTGATGGTGTTTCTGCAGGCTGAACTGTTCAAGGCTGGCTCTGTGGACAAGCACTGGCATGGTGAACAAGTGCTCCTTTCCTCTTTTTTTCCCTGTTGTCAGTCATCATGTCTGTCATTTCCCTCTTCTTTACTGAAGGTTTTAATCCTTCCTTCTGTGTTCTTTCAGGACATCAGCTGGTTCTTATGGCTCTCCTTTGCAGTCTCACACTTTTATTGACATGTAGTCTCCAGAAGTGGACACAACATCATTGTTCAGATGGTCTAAAAAGAGCAGTGGGATTGTTTCAGCTTCTCTGCAGGTCACACCTCTGTTCCAGAAGCTTTATGTGCTGAGCAGGACTGCAGCACTGACTTGCAGTTCATCACAGGCCAACCACAGCTGCTCCCTGACCCATATTTCAATTTTAAGACAGGCCTTGTAGCTCTCAGGGGTTGGTCAGTACAACTGCATTAATTATGCAAGGCCATGCTGGTGGCATAAGTAAGGAGGACAGGCACAGATGGGTTTAGAAAGCCCTGAGAATGCAGCCAGGCACTGCTCCTCTCTTTCTAGGTGTAAGGGAGCCCTTAATTGAACCTAATTTTCTTATTTTAACCTGTTTAGCCCTGCTGAGTGCAAGGATCAGGGCTGTTCCTACACTGTTCCTGTTTCCTGAGTGGGAACATTTTGAATGTTCTGGTCAGATTAAATTCCACATCCTTTCTTTTCCGGAAAGCAAGCAGGTTAAATCACTGAACAAGACAGCCCACAGGCTTCTCAGGCAGGCTGTGCAGTAATTTGGACTCACAGACTAATCACTTTGAAAGCTTTTTCAGCTTTCCTTAAATTTACTGCATTCACAGTTTGGGAAAAAAAAAATCCAACCAGGATTTGCTGATACCTTCTGGAGTATGTAAAGACACAGGGAAAGGGACATAATTCAGGCACTGACTTGAAGCTTCTTCATTTCTTTCAAATCTCCCAAGAAAAAAAGGAAGTACAATGAACCTGACCTATAGTATGACTACAGCTAGTTTCATTTTTGTTTTCATTTTTTTCTTAAACAAAGAAAGTATGTCCCAAAACAACCTTCATGCCCCAAATTTTCTTTCAGGAAATGCTTTTCTTCTTCGTTACAACTCTCCCAACAAACTGTACTGGACAGTTCTGGTGATGATCATAGCTTATGTGGATGTCTAGTGCATGCAGACAGAAGCAGTTCATCAGATGTAGACTATGACTTTCCTTTTTTCCAATAAAAGTTTTATCAGCCCCAATACATTCATATCAGCCCCAATATATTCATATCAGCCTTGGAGGGTGAATCAAGCTTGTGAGGATACAGATGTGGGAAGAGGTTGTGTTATCTGTTCCACAGTATGAACCTGTGTTATTTTCCATCATTCAGAAATGGGATCCAGATCAGAGAATATTTTCTGTCTTGGGCTTGCTTTTGGCATTAAGGAGGATAAGTTAGATTCTCAGTTTCTTTTATCTCTATTAAAAGCTGTTTTTCTTTAATATAATATGCTACAAGAGGTGTATCAAACCATGTTCACCATGCTTTTGAGCATTAGATTTTTTTCTGTGACTGGAAAAGTCTTCATAGTCTCATTTCTAAAAAAGATAATTTCATGGGAAGTTTGTATTTCCCTGGAAGCATTATCAAAAAGCACACATATGTGAAGTCAGCCTATGCAGTGAAAATCATTAAATACCTTTGTTCCAATAAACACCAATTCCTTTCAAGAATTTCACTCCCATAAAAATAAAAACTGCTTATTAAAAATGTGTTGTATCAAACTATTCAAAATCCTGTGTTGTATTGTTGCAGGATGTTTCCTTCTCTTCACATGTCCAGCATAATTATTTGAAGACAGAATAGACATATTAGAATAAAAAAAAAGCCACACTGAAAAATGTTTCACATAATAAATCATGTTTTAACAGAATAATAAAAAAGAATTTGTAAACACTTCAACAGTCAACATTTCTCCCAGTTCACAGCTAGGAAATCTGAGATATGTTTCTGTAAAGAAAAGCAAGCTGTCACCTCTTCGTGATTTGCTTGCTATTTCAAGAATGGATGCCATGTTTCAGTGTTTTGTCAAGACAAATACTTTGTTTTTCAGTGATTGCACATAACATTTCAGGGTTGATTATTATAAAATTAGCAAACAAAACACAAGGAAATGAGATATTTGCTGTACATACGCCAAAATTTAGCTCTCATTTTTTGGCCTTCACCAAATACTGATACAGGCAGGGTGTTGGTCAGCTGTGAAGACAATTACTTTTGAAAAATTTACATTATAAGGAGATAAATATAAGCAAACATAATGGAAACTGAAAATGCATCTCCAAATGCTGACAAATCCCATAATATAGAACTCTGTATTGTATTACAGTGTTCAGTTATGCATGAGGCTTGATTAGGGAGGTTGGATATTTTTTGGGAGGGAGATGGCATCTGGTCCTGTCATGTCTGCTCAGCTGAAAGCTCACTGATACCACCAGGAGCTTTGCTGTGAATAGGAATGGAGTATATCAGATTTGGCTCTGCAGTGAAGTTTTACTTTATTTTACATCATGAGAAGAGAAGAAAAAAAATCTCATCTTATGCCTCCCTCTCTCCCCTGAAAAAGCTTCATGGGAAAGATTTACTGGTTTTGAGCAAATGAATGTCATATATTGCTTTAATTGGGATCATTCTAATAGTCACAGGAAACAAATAGTTATGACCCAAAGCCAAAAGGGCATCTCCAGGTTACTTTTAATAAGGATGAAATGAATAACAAAACTAGTCTGGTCAGACAGCCCTGTCTTGTAGAAGTTATCTTATTCCCTGTAAACAAGGTTGTTGTGAACCAGCAATCGCAAAGAAATGAAATAACAATTTTCAAGTTTTCACACAGTGTAAAGTTCAGGGCTAGGGGCATCCTCCTGCAGAATCATTGTTAAATTCTTCCTTGTTAAATTCACCTTATTGCTAGTGGGTTTGTGTCAGCTGCTACGAGCAAAGAGCTGTAACTGTGCCCATCTGACACGATGGCACTGTGACAATGATGGAAGAGCCAGGCTGGCATTTAGATGTTGTCCTTTCAGCATTTTTAATTAGCTGGATATGCTTTACTCCTTTTTGTGGCATGGTTTTGTTTCATTTAGCTCAGAGAAATGACGGCTGTTTTTTCCTCTCCAGGGTGATGAAGAGGCCAGCCTGGGCCTGCCCATCAGCCCTTTCATGGACCGCTCTGCTCCCCAGCTGGCACACCTCCAGGAATCCTTCATCACTCACATCGTGGGACCACTCTGTAACTCCTATGACTCAGCAGGGCTGATGCCAGGAAAATGGATAGAAGAGAGTGACGAGTCAGGAGACACTGATGAGCAAGAAGAGGAGGAAACAGGAGAAATGGAAACTTGTGAAAACGCCGAATCCAGTAAGTGGTTGACACTTCCATTTCCCAACGAAACAAATTCTGTGTTGTGACCAAAATGCTAAGCAGAGAGAGGCTGTGAGTTGGTCAGGTTCAGCATGGGCCTCCTCCAGAGTGACAGTGAGCCCTTGATGTCCTTTGGTGCCCTTGGTGAAGCTGTAACCACTTACATTGTGAATGGAGATGCTCCATGGTTTCAGCACCACTGTGGTTCATATCTACCACTTATTTCTGCCTTAGTTGGGGTTTCTGGTGGTAGATCACCTGTGCATGAGGGCTTTCTAGACTCTTTTAGGACTGGTATTGATAAGACTGTAAGAATTTCAGTTGAAAAAAGGATGTTTGGGAGAAGATTTTTCAAGGAAAACACTCAGCATTTCCATGAGTTAACATGACAAACAGGAATAATAGAATGAGGATCTGAAATGCTGATGCAGTAAAGGAGTTTTTAACAATGAAATCATTTTAATGCAAACCTCTTCAAGGTAACATGGAGAAGAGTGGGAAGAGAATTGGCACTGAGCATTGCTGTGTTGTGTGCTGGGAGATGCATCACTTGGCTAACCAGTAACTAAAGCTCATATTCTGCCTCTCCTCTAGAAAGGCAACACTGACAATATTTGCTGTATTGAGTTGAAAATTTTTTACCTTGAAAGGAGATTTTAGCCACTTGTGGAAATGATTTTTAAGAGAAAATACTGCAGGTGTAGACCTCTTTCTTTTATCAGTTTAATCTTGCATTACCTTTTTCTTTCTTTCAGGTTCTTTCTCCCTCTGAATTTTCTGTTACTGTTCCTTTATTTCTCTCCCCTATGTCATCTTTCTCTCTTTCCCCTGTATCCAGAAGTTTTAGGAAACAGCAGCCTAAAGTGCACTCATAACATACCAATACTTTTTCCCTCACCAGTCTCACTTTTTCTGTTCTTTCCCACACGTTTTCTTTCATGCCCTGCCTGGGTATCACCCCTGTTTTCTGTTGGGAAAGCTGACAAAGATTTGATGAGTGCAGTAAGTCACTTATGGATGTGGAACTAAAATTTATGTCTCTTGATGTGCAGCATTAACCTTTTATCTCTAGTAAGATTCAGAGGTAAACAGTTTGTATTTAAGAAGTAATTGCTATTTTTCACACACACACACACACACACTTGCACATATTTTAGGTTTGGCATGTTCACATGCACAAAAAAAATCTCATAGAGAATGGTAAACATCAAATAATATAACACACAAGGGTTAATCTGATCCTTATGATCTCCTTATGATCTATCAGTTCTGTAACAGGCAGAGCCACATGTTTGTGGCAGATTGGCCTTTATGGAAGTGCCTGCTAGGAGGAAACGTATGGAACTGGTAATTAACTCAAAGCCTGAAACTGATACTGCTGTATTAAAAAATATATGAATGATGTTCTCATATATACATGATGTTTGTAACCTTACTCTGAAATCCTTGGTTCCCTTTCATTTAGTATCTCTATTCACTTATCTTCTGTATCAGCATTAGGGGAGTCAAATAATGCTGTTTTCAGGTTAAAAACACTGATCATTATTAACCCTTTTCACATTGCAAACAGACTTATTTTAGTGGTCTTCTGTTTTGTTTTTTACCCTGTTCTAGTACCTTAATAGTACTAGCCCTGGTGTTTTTACTATGGTTTGAAAACTGTGGTTTTCAAAGCTTTAAAAATTAATGTGAAGTTTTGAAATATTCAACAAATTCTTTCTACTTCCTTTGTACCAAATGGGGAATGCTCCTCTTCTCCATCATGCTAATGTGTGGCAAATTGTTGTCTTCAGGTCCCCTAAATTCTCTTGGCCTGACCTTACTCAGGATTCTGTGGCATCTTGTGTGTCAATATAGGGGCCTCATACTTTCTTAGAAGTGTGTGCCTGTGACCAACACAATTTTGGACTTTCTAAACTTTCTCAATGAAACAATAAAAGGTTGAGATGTCAGATGCACAGGCATTAAGACTGGTATAGATGTTGGTAAAGATCTTTTGATGACAACGCCTTTGAGGCAGATAGAAATATAATTGTAGCAGAAAACACTTCATCTAGGTCCTGATGATTCACTGAAGCAGTTGAGATCAATTTAAGATCTATAACCTTGAAGAAGCCCTAAGTAATTTTTTTTTTTTTTTTTACTATATTGGAGCGTGTACTTTCCCTGAACGTCTTATGCAATTGTAAGAAGTAAACAGTCTCAGTCTTTAGTGATTCAGACAAATTTTAACACTACAGCAAGTGTCTGCAGAGAGCAGCAAGATGTGGGGTCGCCTGGGAAACCCAGGAGAGAATGTCCTGCTGTAGCATTGGCAGCTTAGGGGCTTCTTATTAGTGCTAAACCTGAAGGTTTCCTACAGGGAACCAAGGGCTTTCTAATGAAGGATTGAATTGGATTTGGTCTGTGCTCAGTGAAAAGCTCTTTGTTTCCAGTTCAAAAGCTTCAAGAGCTAAACATTTTGGATCCTGACACAGACATACTTTAGGCAACCTGCAAATACTAATCCACGCAAATTTATTTGGTACAAAACATTCCTCTACGTCACCTTCTTTAAAGAGAAATCAGCAGTTGTCTTTGGAGGGGTTATTATTTCAGTTCTGTCACGGCCATTGTCACTGCTAATGACCAGGAAAATTTTTCAAACTTTGTACTGCTAAGGAGTTAAGAATCTGTATTGGACAGGGTATATTGACAGGGAAAAAAAAAAACACCCTTCAGACAGCAAAACACTTGTAGTGTCAGCTGTGTCAGGAACCGTGAGAACCACCAGGGACAAAACCACTTTTATAGGCTGAGAGCAGGGCCCTGGTGCTTCAAAACCAAAGAGAAGCAAGCTCCCTGATAGTATTTGGTTATATGAGTGCTTCTTTAGTGCTCAGGCTGGTGCCAGAGCAATGTTGTGCTTAAGCTTTAAGGTCACCTCCACCATGATGGTGGAGTGATGGGTGTCTTTGAAAATGGAACACAGGAAACAAAAATCAGGTTTTTTTTTTCCCAAGGACAAGCAGAGTGCACAGAATTGAAAGTGTGTTGATCAGTGTCTTTAAGAACTTGATGTAAAATGAGCAGAAACAGCTCAGCAATGTGTTTTATGCATAATCATTCAAAGGCTAGATACCTCTGTAAGCAGCTGAGTCAGGCACAACATGCAGCCTTGGGATAGGATGAAACTGGGGATCAAACTGTGCAGGAAACCAGTTTGCTTTCCCCAAAATCTGGAGAGGCACAGATTTCTGTGATTTTAACACTGTTCAAATGTCGGGGTTTAAAAATCTGTCTTAGCACACTCTGTCTGCTTCCCGTGCCTTCAGTCACTTTTACTTCTCCAATAGAAAACAGTACACTGATGTCACATGGTGTTTTACAGGAAAGAAGAAGTTCAAGAGGAGGAAAATCTACTGTCAGATAACTCAGCACCTGCTTCAGAACCACAAGATGTGGCAGAAAGTGATTGAGGATGAGGAGAGGTTAGCTGGGTCAGAGAAGCAAGGCACGGAGCAATCCCCACTGCACCAATCTTCAGAACAAATCCAGGCCATCAGGGAGGAGGAGGAGGAGAAAGGGAAGTCCAAGAAGGATGAAGAGGAGAACACAACTGTAGAACCAAACCAATGACAATATTTACAGCAGTATTTTAAGACAGATTGACTCGTGCACAGACTCTTTCTCAAGCCAGCACAGCATTTAGACACAACACTGTAGAAGTACGGGATAATGCGCCTACAGCTGTTTAATTTGTTTCTCTTTCCTTTTTATGGTGAGGTACATTGTTTAAACTCCTATGCTCAAGGAAGCTTTCACACTGCAACACCGGCTTTACAGACTTTCTTTGAAGAGATTTGGGGGTGGGTGGAATTATATAAAAATATATATATAGCCAGGGTTATTGGCTGCACACTTCAGCAAAATACATTTAATGATATATTATGGTCACTGTGATATTTACAGGAGAAAGTTATCTGAGGAAATGCTGCTTCTGAAGCACATTTGCAGTTAACAGTAAGGTACCAGTTAAGTAGCTTTTTGCTCTTAATGCTGAGGGATAAAAGTTCCAAAGCTTTATATGAATGCTGATATATCCTGCCAACACATATGTGCGAGTGAGGGGGTGTTTGCAAGTGTGAGTGGATGTGAGGAAATACAGCATGGTCTGAGTTCTTACCACACTAGCTGTAGCACACGTCCCAGCACACCACAACAAACAGAAGGCCAGAATTGTAAAGAATTTGTGCCTGCAAGGGAACAATTTTGAGGAGCTTTGCTTTGCCATAGCCCTCCACCCCCACTCCAGCTGCGGGCAGCCTCCAACCAGCAGCAGCCCAGGCGCTGCTCTGGCCCTACCCAGCTGTGCTGGCATCACCTCTTCCTCTTCCTCCTCAGCACCTCCCAGACTGCTGGCGAAGGGGATGTGCCAGGAGGGCTGTTTGCAAAGGGGGCAGTGCATGGCACAGCAATCTGTGCCCCTGGAGGAGGCTGGCCCTGCCTGTACATGTGCAGGGTGAGCGGCGGTGCGGGGCCGCGCGCGCCTTTGGGCAGGAGAACGTGGGGGCACGCTGTCCTCTTCTGCCCTCACCCCTGCCTCTGGGTGGCCAAATGTGTCATTTGAGAACAAAGCTAAACTGCTGGGAGACAAAGGAAAGGAGAGTGGGGGCCAGGGCATTCCCCAGAAGAAGGCAAAGGGTGCCTCAGGAGCTGCAGGGGACAGTGCCAGTCCTGCGTGGGCTGGGCACTCGGTGTCCCAGGATCTGCTCACCTGCATTTTCAGTGTGAGGTGCTGCATGGGAGCAGTTTGCTGCTGGCATTCTGCTTAGGAGCAGCATGTTTTATCCCACCAATATATTTTTCCTTCTTTCTTCTTTTTTTTTTTTTTTACTTTTTTTAACAGAAAGAAAAAGATCGGGCCTGTAAGAACAGCAGATCTTTTTTGTTGTTGTTCTGTTCATTTGTTTTTCTCTGTTGTTTATGCTGTGAGCCAAATGTCTATTTAAAAGGTTGGATATTCACTTTCAATATTTTATTTCACGATATATGTGTCAATGATTAGCTATCTAGATGTAAATATGGAAAAATTTTTATGGGTTCCTGTAGATAATGATATCTTTAAGAAAAAAAAAAAAACAAAGAAAAAGAAAAAAAGGGAAAAGTTGTTTTGTAAAGATAATTTTTTAAAAAATAAATACAAAAACATTTTTATACAGTGTAGCCATTTCCAAACCCCACAAAGTCTTGAGTAATCTGTATAGACCCTTCTGGGAAGCCAGTGGTCTACAGGATCAAGGCTTTAAAATATTAATGGTCTTGGGGACTGGCAGCACCAAACAGTACCCCACAATTTAGAGATTTGTTCCCACAGAAAGAGTTATATATACAAACTTCAGTATCTCTCAGAACTCCTTCAATTATGTGTGCTTTTTCTACTTTGATTCTGCAGCCCATTACCATGAAGAGGTTTGCTTGTGAGAGTAAGATTCCTTGTGAAAGGCAGAGTTTGTTAGAAGTCCTTTCTGTGTTGAATTTCTGACATTGCACCCATCACTTTTTGCTGTTGTTACACATTCACCAAATTTCATGATCCTGTTGACACCTCCCCACAATGTTGGAAAACATTCTCTATCAAAGCCAATCACAGGCGTGTTATCACTTCAGAGCTCCCTCTTGCTTTGCATTTCTGTCAGAATGAGGTTTTGCTCAAAAGAGGATTTGGGGTTTTTGCTGATTGCATTTTCCTGATTCTGTCCTGTCCTCCTCTTGCCGGTAGAAAATGTGTTTGCCTTTCAGCAGAGTGACTGGGCAGGTTCTGAATGTTCTTATCAGCAGGAATATTTAGGAAGTGTTTTCCAGTGAAATCAGGAATGCAATGATCCAAATCACACTGCTATTTTAAAGGGAAAGGACACAGCAGGATTCATTCAAAAGAAAAAAGATGTCTCCAAGATCTTAACAAGTCTCCACCAATTCCAGCTTGCATTGTTTTCATTTCTCTTCAGTCACTTTGATCGTTTTATTTGGGCTTTTCTTGTACGACTGGTAAGCATACCTTATAGTATGAGAAGGTTTTATTATGCCTCATTCTATCATTTAAAAATTACATTTACAGAGATGCTTTAAAATGTCACATCTCCAAGCACTTTTTTCTCAATTTTCAGTGCATAATCACTGCAATTGGATTTTAATATTGGGGTTTATATTGATTTTGCTGAAAGAGGAAAGAAATTCTATTTCAGCAAGTGTTAGTGGGTACCCAGTTGGTAAAATTATGAAAAAAGCATTCAAGAATGAGGCAAAATCCTGTAAGCAGAGTTTCAAATATGCCTCTAAAATGGCACACATAGAGTTGAGAAAAACTAAGAGTAACTAAGAAAAGTTATCTTAAAATGTGCTGAAATGAAAACATTATATTTTTCTAGTCATCCTTTTTGATTGCCATTAAGTAAAATTAACGTCAGCTTCTAATTTGTTTTTCTGCATTGCCAAGGCAGCTGTTAGAAATTGATACACGTTTGCTACCCCAGCCTGTTCATGGGAGCAGTCATTGAACTGGACCTTTATGGTGAAGAAATTGCTGACAGACTTCAAATGAGAATGACTGTTGTTTTTATTCAAACTAGAAAGAAATTCCAGTGAAGAAGCTGAAGTGGCTCTGAGTGCTCAGCTTGGTAAGAGGTGACTTTTTTCCCACTTCAAATAGTTAGTAATCCAATTTCTGCAGGTGGTCCCTCGTTATGAATCTGATTCGCAGTCTTTGAAGTGCCTGTTTGGCAGGCAATGATCAGGAAATCTCCAGGTTGGCTTAGATATAACACAAAAGAAATTACCAGAGAGATTTTATGTCAAGAATGTGAAAAACTTTTTGTTTTGTGTGTGTGCTTTGAGGTTCATAGATAATGAAGCAGGTAATTTAGAGGGCTTTATAATATTTTCTAGTCCAAAGTAGGCAAAACTTTTCACCTGCAGTTACATCAGCCTGTTGAAAGCAGAAGGTTTTCCGCTTTGTGTAGTATTTTGGTGTTGCAAGCACCAAATAATTCACAGCCTAAGAAATATTTTAGGAAGAAAAACCAAATAAAGGAAAATTAAGTGTGTTCAATCAGCAGAATCCTCTTGTTTTAGGTGGGATGTTTACAATGTTGATAAATATTCCTGGTGCATACCATATGTAATGCAGTGTGGTAGATACTAAAGAAAGCAACCCCCATTTTAAACAGTGTTTTGCAGTGTCAAACCCAAAGTACTTCAGTTTTCTGTTCTTTAAAAACAAAGGGAGAAAGACTAGATTCTTTTTTTCCATTTGGATATTTTGTTTTCCTCACTTTAATGGCACTTGGTGTCTGATCCTGTTCCCTTCTAGTCTAGAAGTTTCCCTGAAATACTTTTGCAGTCCTTGCAGCTCCCAGTGCAGTGGACAAAAGGACTCTGTGTGTCAGATAGCAATCACATGTAAACACTTTTGTCCCTATATTGGCACTTCTGTTGATAACTACATAGTGTTTACCATGGAATATAACTTTTCTCCTTACACTTGTGTTGCAGAGGAAACACATGGAAGTAGAGAAGTGTGAAATCCCCAAACAATTTAATTACCTTTTCTTTTAGGGGGAGTGTAAGACATTAGCTTCTAAAGAAACTAAAAATGCTGTGTCTCAAAACAATAGTTTCAAATTTTCAAAAGGCCATAGTTTACTATGCTCTATATTTATGCTCTAGTTCTAAAATCGTGGTTTGTTTTTAGCTAATGTGCAGAGCAGTTTGACACTTGTCTCTGAAAATCATCTACTCCCTCCAGAAGGAAGATGGTGTTTGAGGAGATGTTGCAAGCTGTGCATCAGAAGTGAGTTGCAACAATCTATGGAAAAGGGATTTTACTATTCTTTTGGCAGGATTTTGGCTGGCCTTCATTTGTGAATGAAATCTTTTACACAGAGCTGTGTCACCAATGCCCTCCCCTGTGCCAGCACGCAGGGTGCTGGTTCTCATAGCAAACATGGTCATATTATGGCAGGAAATGGTTCCCAGGGAAGATGTCATTTGAGAAGGCTTTTGTTAATAATTTGAGGCTAGTTTTCATCAGTTTTTATTCGACATCACGTGTGAACTTCTCTCTGCATCATCATCAGCCTAAAGATGGATTTAGGTCTTTACCATTAGTGTACCACTGTCAGAATTTCTTAATATCCTGGTGGTCTGAATCTGGGAGAAAATTAAGACTACAGAGGTTCAAATATATGCTTTTAAAGGTACCATTTGGCATCTAAGCAAACTTCCCTCCCAAGTCCCATTCTCTGCATTCCATGCTGGACATAAAGTTCACTTGTTTCCTTTAAAAATTTAAAATTTCTGTCGCAACCTGAGCCTGGCTGGACTTGGAATCCTAGAAGATTTGGTCAGTTTTCAAAATGAACCCTAAGCATTTTTGAGAGCTTAGCCATGAGTCTAATGCAGCACCAGCTTTGTGGTTGGTGCTGGTTGTTAATGAAGTACTTGTGCAAAATCTGTGCAAGTCCTCCCACAGCTGAGATGTTCCAGCATCTCATGGGAGGAAGGAAGGTTTCAGTTTAAGGATGAGAAGTTGCTGAGCTTCCCATGGCCTCGTGGGTAGAAGATTGGACAGAAGCACATTGCCAGAGTGAAGGATACACCTCTCTGCAGGCACTAAGGGTTGCCTGCTCTGCCCAGCCTCAGCCCTGGACATTGGCAATAGAACTTGGGAATTCTTCAGCTGGCAGCTCAGAGGTGGGGTAATGGGTCCTCGAGTTGATGGGGTTGTACACAGGCAGGAAGGAAGTGAAACCTGCATTTTGTGGGAAGGAGGAAAGGAAATCGTAGTCCATTATCAAATAGATTTTATAAAACAAAATTTATTTACCTTTTCTTTCAAAAGCAAATGTAATCTTGCTGAAATGGATAAACATAGGGTTTCTGGGAGGTTAATTTATGTTTGATGTTGCAATATTAGTCAAAATGATAGCAGTATTAAAGAGAAGATAATTATTCCCATTAATTAAAGCAGGAGAGTCTTCTTTTTTTCCTATTTTTCAGTGAATCGACAAGAACATCCAGGGATCTTGGAGAACAATACATGTTAAATTATTTTGAACAGATGAAAGAATAATAGAAATTAGGTGACAGTTGTCTTAAAAAACATTGGAAGAGCTTGCAATAGTGCTGATTATTGAAGTCAAACTTCAATTTAGAGCAAAATAGCACCAGTACTTTTGAGAGCAATTTAGTGTGATAGATCTTTCTTTGAATTTAATCACTTTCTTTTAGCAAAACAACATTCCTCTGCAGGTAAATCAAAGCAGGGTTTAGCTCCTGCTGTGGTAGATATTGATTCCCAGTGTTGGAGGGAGCAGTGTGAGAATTATTCTCCATTTACAACCTAATTATGATTTATTCAGAGGCCATTAGTGGGATTTTCCTGGCAGGCAGGTGTTTTTTTGATGAAAAATGCATCTCCCCATCTCAGCAGGATGCAGATGTCACCTGAGTGAGCACCTACTTGAGCTCTTAGGGCAATGCAAGCTCCTCGGGAGCCTGGGGGCAGAACAGCGCTGGTGTATTTCTGGAGAGTTCATATTCACAGTGACAAAAGGCAAGAGCTCGAGCTAGTTAACAATACTTCTCTGATAAAAGTGAAACAGTAAGCATTGTGCAGTCTGAAACCCTGCCAGTGTCACTGAGGTGTATGACAGACATTCAAACACACTCGGACATTCCCCTGAGTGCTTTGCTCCTGTGAAACTGATGGTGAGTTCAGGTAAAACCAGGTTGGTCTTGGGTGTGGTCTGTCGAGCTGAAGGGTGTAGTAAAAAATAATTTTTGACTGAAGTTGTTTAATTGTCCTTCGTCAAGGAAAGCTTTGCTTGGTGCAAGAGGAGGGGGGAAAAAAAAAATTCATTTGAGCTTTTCAGGTCACCAATCTGTGCCAGTGGTTTCCTGCTTCCAAAGCTGTGTGTGCAGTATGTCTGAGATGTGGGAATGGGGCAGCAGAGGAGAATTGTTCTGCCCTGGATGCCACAGGGAGTTCTCTGTGCTCTGGGGAGCACCACTGAAACCTGCAGGTAAGAAAAGAGCAGTGAATTAGTTGGGGAAACCCAAGTATTCCTGTTTTCTTTGTGGAAGCATAAGGGCAGGTATACAGGACTTTGCCACAGTTGCAAGCCATGTGACCTTTTATGACTGAATTCTCTTGTCCTGAGGCAAAACCATGGAAATCAGATCAAATAATAGCTCAATTTTCAACGCTGTCTTCCTCTACCACAGTGAACGCTTATAAACAATTGATGTGAATTAGCAACTGCTCTTTGCTCTTAAGTATTTATTTAAGAGGTTTGGGAGGTTTTGGTGGTGCTTTTCATTTTTTTCCTCTGACCCTAGTCATTTTCACCCAAGGCTTTCTTAAAAAAGAGTAAAAAATAAAAAGGCTCTGTGATGTGGTCAGAGGGAAAACAGTGAGGGCTTTGCCATGTGTGTACATACTGCTCTAGGTAGAAAGGCTGCTCAAGTCTGTTAAAGCTGACTTTTCTTTTCAAAATTCCTGCCTGATCCTGAAACACAACGAAAACCTGTATTTGAATGCAAAATGTTGATTTGTAGCTGTTTGTAAACCTTGATACAGTACTGCAGCTGGTGTCCCAAAAAGATCAAAGACAACGTTCATTACTGCTCTGTGATGTTGATGATATCTTTAATATTTCAACCATGTCAGCGTACTTTTGATCATTACTTTTCTAAAGTTAAGTCTTCTTCTTTTGAATAATCAATATCAGATGTTTGCATGATGAAAACTAATTTAAGTTCACTTTTAAAAAAGCCGTGATTCATAATGTGGGTTACGTTTGTTTAACAGATTAACATTTTCACTGATGGGTGGCAGTTTTTTTTTTCCTTTTTAGTGCTTTTGATAGAAGAACATCTGGGATATTTTCCAACAAAACCACATTTTTTCACCTTTGCCTCCAGTTGTGGAAGAAATACCTTCCAAAAATAATTATTTTCCAATACAGTTTGGCCTGTCTGGGTAACGATATGCAAGTATGTATATCACGTAGAAGATGTGATTGAAAAAATTAAAAATCCTATTTTGGTAAAGTAATCAAGAAATTAACCTAGCAAGATTACAACCCTTTATAAATTAAAATCTTGGGTGTGCCAATATAACTGAAGCACCAGATTTGAGGGCAAAATTATACAAATTTTTTATTTTAAAATTGACAACAGGCCAGACAATTTTTTACTTTTTTTTTCTTTTTTTTTACTTCAGGAAACACTGGGAAATTTGGTCATCTTACATTCTGTCCTGTGAGGGTTGCCTCCTGGTCTGGAACCTTGGGGCAAAATTATTTTAATGATGCTTATTCAAACTCTGCTATAGTAGTAAATTTCCACAAATCACTCATGTACTACAAATTTAATCCCTCCTTGATTTTTTTTCACTTCAAAAGGTGAGAAAAAGAACAGGGGGAAGTGTAATTTTATACGGCTCTATTTGAAAAAGGGTTTTGTGTACCTTTATAATTCTTTTGAAGCAATATTTTAAAAAATAACTGCCAGCCAAAGTGGCAATGCAGAAAAGTGCCATCTTGTTTAGGATTTGTACACACCAGTTTTTAACACAGTGTTCTTTTCACTAAGTACTACATACATTAATTTATATTTATATATTGTCAATATTGTTGTAACCAAGCTTCTCCTTTCTAAACACTTCAGGAACAAGGCCTTGTATTTTTAGGTGATTTTCATAAACAAAATAATTCTTTTCCTTTCACTAGTTATCTTGCACTCGATACATGTAGCAATACTTAATATATTCTCTTCACAAGTATTTGTTAAGTGATTTAGTTAATGGCTGATAAATGTTTTGTACAAAATAGATTCTGTACAGGAAAAAAAATCTTTTAGATAAACATTATTTATTTTTACTGTTTTGTAAGTTAGACACTATAATGAAGCTCCTTTTTGCCAGAATTACTGGAAGTGCCTCTTGGTAAAATGTATTATACGTAAATATGTATTCAAAATTATTAGAAATACTTGTCACAAAATGAACAATGTGGATGTTGCAATGTGAAGACAAATGTACAACATAAATATAATTCTGTGGTATCCTGTTGGCTGTGTTTCTTTTTCCTTTACTGAACAAAATTGCTTTAGGTGCCCAGCTTTCAGTTTAAGCATCAGACTACAAAGGACTTGTACCCTCTTTAGACTCTGATTCAAATCCAGTGAAAGCTTGTATATATTGAATTACCATTTTAGCTGCCAGCCTTGCTTGGTATGTGTTAGTGACCCAAGCTCATGTTTGTTGGTATCTGATTTCCTGAGACTTTTACCTGCAGAATTCTGCACTTTGCTTCAGATTACTAATAAATCCCATGTGAAATCCTTTGTGACTCAACCAATCTGTGGAAAGCCTCATTATAACCATTCTTCTTGAATGATGACCAGTATTTCAGCATCCATCATCAGGGTACTACTCAATACAGTTAATGTGGACCATGCAGATTGAATGTGGTCAGTATGACATGGCAGCATCCAGTCCCAGCAATGCACAGTGACTAATGCTTCCAGAGAAAATGAAATGTGTTACCTTAACAGTTTCCCTTCTTAATCATAGATGTAATCTGTCAAAGTGGGACATCAGTGCGTGAAAACCATTTTCTTGCCATTACATTGGTAAGTATGCTGTCATTTGTCAGTGTAAAATTTTACAAGTCTTTTATGTGTTCTAGAATTGACATCTAGCTACTGTCTTTGCTCACTGGTTATAATTTCAAAAAAGTATCTCAGAGCCGTCAAAAATTTTACCCATTTTTAAAGTTTTATTACCTACTTTGATCAAAGACCTGGAGGATCTTCAGCTAATTGACTTTAAATGGTTGCATAAAAATTATCTTGATCACCCATGTGTTCAAAGCCTCTTTTCCTATAGTGAAAAATTAACAGCTTTCAAAACACACAAGAGTATCAGCCACATATCTGGCTGTCAATTTTCAAATGCCTCCAGTTTATTTGTCCTCTGGCTAAAATTCTGAATGGAAAAATGTAAGGAAATTTGCAGCAGGCAGTGATTAGGAAGATACAAGCCAGAATCATTGCCAGTAGGAAAGTAAAATATGATTTTATCTGTTCCAAGGGAACTGCTTCTAAGCCAGCAGCTGGTCTGTCCCAAACACTTAATATCTCAATAGCATGTAATTACTTGATGCTAAAATTCACAGAGAGGAATGAAACCGGAGTAGCAAAGAAAAACCTTTGCCTCACTGCTTCTCACCACAAAGAGCAGGGGCTACCAAGGTAAGGAATGCACTTGTCTGAAAATCACCCAACTCTCTCTGGAGCTCTTCAAACAGCGAGAGGTTCCCATGGGAAGAGCTGAGCAGTAGAACACAGGGCAGAAGCCGTGACTCTGCTAATGAGACCACACATGAGCCTGCCTCTCCTGGGCTTCTGCTGAAACATAAAGGAGGCCATGACGCACAGCCTCAATTCAATGTTGCATTTTCCAGGTGTTCAAATTACTCTCAATTGCTTGATTGGGCAAATCCAGTTGCCTAAAAGCACTTGAAGTGTTTCACTGCAAACACAGTTCTCAGAGAGCTATTGGGGCTTTGTTTAGCAGTGCTTTCTGTCAATGTGTCTTCAATTATCTCATCAAAATCCTGTGGAAATCAACCTAATGCCACCGTGGGCTCCCCAGATATTGTCAGTGATTGATGCAGGGATGGAAGAGCAAACAGCTTTGACAGGAGGGTAACTTGCAGGTGCTACCCTGGCTAAAGGGGTCTGTAGCTCTGGGGTTGCCGTCTCACACCATCCAAAGGAGAATTTTTAACCATTCCACACTGAATTCCCAGAGACCTGGTATGCTGCAGTGGAAGCTGTCAAAACTATTTGTTGGACAGCTTCACTGGCAGGAGGTGATAGGAACCGTGCATTAATTCATGAGGAAACATGCAAGTTTTAAGTTTTAGTGAAAGTTCTGATGGCTTGTGTCATGCCCAATGTGGGTTGCCAGTTTTAATTGCTGAACAGCCTGGGGTAGACACAGGGAGAATGGTTTGGAAGTCTGAAACAGATGAAAGGTTGCTGCAGCACCTGCTTGTCTTCAGCCAGGAAATACAGAGTAGGAGGTTCCTGTTTAATCTACACAATGGCTTCATTTAATATACCTTTTGCTGTTGTTGCTGATAAATTGCTTCCTTTCACAATCCACGTGGTGATTGTTTATTATTGTTCTTACCAAAGGCATCATATTCTACAAATTCAACACCTTCAGTGTAATCAGCTCTTCTGCTCAATTCTTGGTACCTTCTCTCTCTACGTTTCTAGGCAAAATCTTTGGGTTTAAACCTACTTCAAAGAACTTATCTTCATTAAGGCAAGTGCAGTGGGACTTTTTTAAAGATTAATGGTATTAATCTCTGGTAGCTGGAAAAGTTCCAGTTTCACTTATTACATCTTTATACACAGAAATTCTCCCCAAAGCTCCAGTGGGTGAAAATGCTCCCTGCCCTGAAGAATGTCACATCAGTGGATTTCTCATTCATCCTGTTTGTTGTACTCCCTCAGAAACAGGTTTCACAGGCCCCTCTGGGATCTTTGCTAAGTGTGGTGCTGTATAAAAACACAGAGCAATTCTGTTCAAATGCCTTGTTAAAACCTGGCTGACTCTGCCATTTGAGTGGGGTGGGCAGGCAGGGCAGGGGCAGTTCGTGGGGTTTTTTTGGCTTCTTTTTTTGCTTGTTTCTTTTTTTAACTAACCATTCAGGCAGGAAAACCTCTGAGCCATTTTACCTGATCAGTCACCTTCTGCAAGTGCTTTCAAGGTCATGTACAGTCATTGACCACACTCTAAACATTGCCTCAGGTACCCAGCACAGAAGAGGTGATACTGTTCTGTGGTCAGGGTGCAGTAAAGAAAGGCCTTTACTGCCACTCCTATTTTTGAAAATTTTTCTTCCATATGTCTCGTGCAAGGGGCTAATTTGATGAGCGCCTCAGAGTAAAGAGTCTATTCAGTAGAACCTTTGCATATCCTAATAACAAGAAGTTAGACAAGTCCAAAATATCATTGCAACATTTTTCTGTTATTCTAATATATTGCTTTGCTGCCCTTTGGTAAGAAAACTGCTCTTTGAGAATAGATCTGGAAGTTGTCTTAGTTGGACAGGAAAGTCCCCAAGGCTGAAATTCCCCAGCCATCCCCATGAGCTTCTAAAAGCCAAAGTGTGTTATTTGTCTCTGGTTCTTTGATGTGGAATAGGTACCCGAGGTTTGTTCTGGCAGTGGGTTTCCTACTCATCTATATTCTTACCAAGTTTGTTCCTAGGACTGGCAACAAAAAGAAGAGGAAAATTCATGTCAAGAAATTAATAATCCGTAGCAGTAGAGTAGCATAACTAAAGCAATTAAAATTTTATAGGCAGTGAAACTAGGATGCCTTATTAGTAAACTGCAAATGTCTTCCCTCTACCTCTCATTGACTGCAAGCTGCACATTTACAGTACTTGCTGCTGTTGCTCACGGTTGGAGCATTTATGTGTCAGCAAAAATAAAATAATAAAGGAGTGTTTGGCCAAGTCTCAATAAGAGTGGTTGAAGACTCATTCCACCAAAGGTTTATAAGTAACTTTGCTTTGCAGCACAATATTAACGGTTTCAAATGTATTCTCTGTTGGACTGTAGGAATCACTTAAATTCAGATTTAAGGCGATATTTATATGTTTTGGGATGCATTTTTAAACAGTGTTTTCCTTCTAGCAGATGAAAATACCTTCTGTTGGAATACTTTTTTTTTTTAATGTCTTTTAGGAAGGAAGACATTTCATGTTTCCAAAGGCTGGCCCACAAATCTGCTGTGTTGTCAGTGTAATGCTTGTCACAGCTATTCACTCTGGCTAGAAAAGGCTTTGTAAGTATAATTAATTTAACCTGCGCTTCAGAAATGAAGGTGGTCTGGCTTCTAATTTCCTGTAACTAATACAAAGTAGGAATGTAAAGAAAACAGACCTCAAGGAACAAGCTTCAGTCTGGTTCTTTGTCCTGTAGCTGCTTTAAAGGATTTTTTTTTTTTTTTTAATTACAGAATAAGCAGGCAATTTTTTTTTAGGACTATAGGAAAGCCAAACCTTGCTTGTCCGGTTGATTGTCTAGCAAGCTTCCAATGGGTTTTGTGTCACTGTGCTGTGGGAGGCACTGAAAAGTGACAAGCAAGGGGTGTCATGTCCAGTATTATAATTGGTAGTGATCTGTTTCTCATGTCTCAGTGCTTGGTACTGAGTTGTTGTAGGTGATGAACTGCATTGTCTTTCCATGTGACATCCATGGCCTGTAAGGCCTAGAAGACTAAGAAATTCCTACCTGGATGAGACTTTCTGGCAGATTAACTTACTGAATTTTGGGGAGGATCTGGTATTCATTTACTCTGAGCATCTTGAAAAGCATCATAGCGGACATACAGCCATTTCTGAGGAACTGCTATAATTATTTCGTAAAGAAATAGTGACGCTCTTCTGGAGTGTTAGAAAATTTTCCATAATGGAAAATACCTCCCCAAGTGGTTTTGGGGAAGTTCCAGTTAAGATACCATCACCTATAAAGAAGCCAGAGACAACTCTCTAACAAAATTTCAGTATAAAACCAACTGTGGTAAAAACCTGATACTGAGGTTTCACAGTGAACCAAAATTCCAGGGAAAATGAGAGGATTCCACTAAATCTTATGGGCCCTGTTCTTCTGCTGCTTTCTAAAGGACATAAAACCAGGCTGTAGGTATTTTTTCTGGGAGTGTGGAGGACAAGGCTCTAGTGCTTATCAATACAATTTGTAGCATAATGGGGTGTTGGAGGATTACAGGATTAAGGGATTTTTATAACAAATTTAGGAATCTGATAATGAAACTTCACTTGTTTTAAAGGACAGTGTGGTAAAGGTTACCAGCGGCAGAATAACTGGAATCTATGTCAGAAATCTTTGAAAGCAACAAGGTCAGCAATGAAGATTAAAAGTCATGCAAAACTAGTACAGATCTTGTATTGTGGAAACTCAGTTTTCCTAATAATTGAAGGAAATGGCCAGGAAGCTGTTCTCTTAAAGAGGCTGAAAGAGC